TCTCTCCTGCCTTCAGGGGAACCAGGAGGAAAGGCTAAAATGCCCTGTGTTCTCTTCTCTGCCTCCCTAGAAATATTCCTTCTCACTTGGGGCTGCAGTTTCCGGATCTGTGAAGTGGAGCTCGTAATTCTGATTTTTTCAGGTTGCTGTGGGATCTAGAGGAGTCAGCAGTACACAGGCTTGAGAGTGTCTGTATCCTGGGGTCAGGAACTGGGTCCTCGGTTGGGAAATTTCTCCTCTGAGTACCAGAGGAAGGCTATGTATCTCTGCCCAGGGGCAACAGGCTCAGGATGTCCTTCGGGGCTCAGCATCCCTGCATGCTGGGCTGTTCTTGTTCAGTGACAGAGGCTTTTCTTGTGGCTCCTAGGCCCCTGCTTCTTGGGTGCCATGAAGCTTCCCATCAATGTTGATTTCAGGAGGTAGAATATGAAATTGGACAGGAAATAACTGCCTGGCAAGGAAAGAGTTAATTCTCTCTCTCTCTCTCTCTCTCTCTCTCTCTCTCTCTCTCTCTCTCTCTGTGTGTGTGTGTGTGTGTGTGTGTGTTTCACTGTTGCAATTGATTGTATCCACCTGACTCACACTAATGGAGGTCTAGCTGTGAATACGCCCGTAGACCGGGTACTGGTGAACAAGGCAAGGCCCTACAGTCACTAGGTAGCTCCTTCCCAGATGAGGCCACTGAAACATTTCCCTTTAAGGCCTCATGGGAAACAAGGTCTCTAGCTGGGCAGGAACCTAATAATGGTTTTCTGGCCCATTCCTGTACCTAGGTAAGATGGATGCCTCTGAGATATCAGTTGTCTCCTTGTCTTCAAATGCCTATTTCTGTCCCCAACGCTCCTGGCTGAAATCTTCCTTCCTGCCCCATTTCTGTTCCCTTCACTGGTGTTTAAAATCACTGTCTGATCTTCCAAGCTCTGTTTATGGAGGTGCTGGGTAGTAGTACTTGACACTGGGTACCAAGTGCTAGATGTTAGGTTCCAGATGCTGAGTGTTGGTCACTAAGTGCTAGATACCAAGTGCCTGACGATGCATTTGTTGGGTGAGACAAGAAAGTGGGTAAGCAGCCCCCATAAAGGCCAGGGTGGGGTGGGGTGGGATCAGAAGACAGACAGAATAAAACCCACATTTAGTCTTCTCACCTGGTTTTTAATTACAGGGCTCCTAAAACTCTTGCAGTTTCCTGAGTATTCAGGGTGAATGGAGTATTTCTTGTTCTGCAATTTGGTCTTTGACTCCAGTTCCCACCACAAACCTCTTATCCCCCTGGGATTTCCAGGTGCTAGAATGGCTCTTATGGGGTGACTCATTGTGGGTTTCTGTATAGAGATGGCCACCAGGAAAACCAAGCGCTGATTGGACGCTTGGAATCTTCAGCCTCATTTCATTCTGTGGGGAGAGAGGACTGGAAATCAAATTAGTGACTGGACACAGTCACATGATGAAGTCTCCACAAAGACCCTGCGTGGGGGGTAAGGACACCTTCTGGGATCGGGAACACATCCAAGTGGCAGCAGAGTGCCACATCTCAGCTCCGGCGGTGGGGGTGGAGCTGTGCTCCAATCTCGCAGGCTTTGGCCTCTGCTCCTGCATCCAGCTGCTCATCTGTATTCTTCACCATGTCTTATATTGTGTAATGAATGAGCAAACGTGTTTCCCTGAGTTCCTCTAAGCCATCATAGAAAATCCGTCAATCTGAGAACAGCAGTAAGAACTTCCAGTTGTCAGCAAAATTGTACGGGAGTATGGGCGACCCAGGGAACCACTTCCTACAGTTGGCACCTGAAGTGAGGGCATAGTGTTGTGGATTAGAGCCCTTAACCTCCAGACCTTCCCTAACTCTAGAGGGCATCATAACTGACTTGTAAGACACTCAGTGGGGATACAGACAGCAGGAGGACTGGTCAGCATAAAAGAAGCCACTTTTATTTGGTGGCCAGTATTGTGGGGGGTGGCTAACAACAGGTTAGCTTTTCCTACACAGGGACTTCATGGAGTACAATGGAGGCCCTGGAGTGGAGGCAGTGTCCCAAGGAGGTGACTGGGGTCTCTCTGCTTTCTTATTGGTGAAGAGCAGGTGGAATGCAGCATCCCAGGGAAGACCTATCACTGTGTGAGGCCTTCAGTGTACCTGTGATTCTGGCCATTCTTTTCTTCATTGTCCTTTGCTGTCATTTCCCACCCACTTACTTCTCGCTGCTCTGTGTTGAGCAGCTAGATTGTGCTCATCTGGAGTCTATGCCAGACTGAAGGCTTCATTTGGGGTCCATTGGCAATAGCTCCTGCTTCACATGTTAATGGTAGAAAGAGAGACTATTACCCAGCTTTTCAGGTAATAGGGTTCAGAGGAATCATCTAAGCATCTTGTGGCTTGGGCATGCTCATCATCTTAGGTGTGGGGGTGGAAGTTTGGGGGCCATTGGGAACTCAGCGTGGCCAACAGGAAGCAGGAGTGAGTGGTACTCAGTGTCAGGTGTTAAAAACCCAGAAGAGCAGAGGCCTAGGTGCAGCTCTGTAATCTGCAGTGCGAACTTGAGCAATCTACATGGAGCTGCACACTGGAGCTCAGTGTCTTGATCCCCACTCCACATATGAGGCCTCTGAACTATGAATTTGCACTGTGTCTGGATGGTTCATACAATGGCGGCACACTTGAGTCTGAGAAGTCTCCCCAGGTTCTCTCTTTTGGTCATTGGTGTGAGGACAGTGATGATGGTGATGCCCCTTAGAATTCTCTTCTGTGATGTGATGGGTTGACAAGCTGTCCTTCGTGGAGTGCAAAATGGTAGCTCAAGCTCAGATCAAGCCCTCCAACTAATTTTCTTCAGTTCTATGCTCAAAATCTTTTTAAATAAGGAGCCAAACACTGATGCATATGCTTTTAGTCCCAGAACTGGGGGCACAGAAACAGGAGGATCCTGGGAATTTGATGGATAGCTGGCTCCTAGGTCAGTGAAAGACCGTATCTCAAGGCAATAAGGCAAAGAGGGGTAGAAGAAGACATATCTGACATCCTTCTCTGGCCTCTGTAGTGCTTGCACGAGCACACACATTGGCACACTCCTGTGCACGCACCACACACACACACACACACACACACACACACACACATACAAAATTGTATCTGTACCAAATTGCCATTTCCTCTTACCAGCAAATACAAAAAAAAAAGCTTAGTAACAAACCACATTGACAAAGGCAGAAAAAATTGTTGCCCACATATATATGTATGTATGTGTATATGTCTGTATATGTGTGTACACACATACACACATACACATACTATATTAGTGATTTTTTTTTTTTGTATGTCTGTGGCAAAACTGCCTGACAGAAGCAGCTCCAGGGAGGAAGATTCACTTGGCCTGTGGTTTCAGTGCTTTGTGACTAGGCAGGCACAGCAGAGCAGCTTAGCTCATGGAAGTAGCAGCACGTGATAGTCTGTTCACATCGAGACAGGTCAAGAAGCAGAGAACAGCTGGGTGTGGTGGTGCTCACCTTTGATCCCAGCACCAGGGAGGAAGAGGCAGGCGGGTCTCTGAGTTCAAGGTCAACCTGGTCTACAGAGTGAGTTCTAGAACAGCCAGGGACACACAGAGAAACCCTGGAGAGAGAGAGAGAGAGAGAGAGAGAGAGAGAGAGAGAGAGAGAGAGAGAGAGAGAATGAGGAGGAGCAGAGAACAAGGCTAAATCCGGATCTAGGTGGACCCTCCTAAGGCTGGCCCCTAGAGACCTGCTTCTGCCAACCACACCTCACTTCCCAACAGTTCCACAGCCTGAAACAGTGCCAGCAGCTGGGGAATGAGGAAGCAAAACACCGGTCTGTGGGGATATTTCAGAGTCAACACATAATAGATACTATTGGGAAATTTGTACAACTTCATTATCAATCAAAATTGCCAGATACCACCTGCCTTTCCTCACCCAATCAAAAACCATTAGTACATGGAACTTATCCCTTTGACTCAGACACACACAGGAAATAACTGTTTTTGGTTGTTGTTTGTTTTTGTTTTTTGACACAGGGTCTCTTTATGTAGTCCCTGGCTGTCCTGGAACATACTAGGTATACCAGGCTGGCATTGAACTCAGAGAGAGAGAGAGAGAGAGAGAGAGAGAGAGAGAGAGATCTGCTTGCCTCTGTCTCCAGGGTGCTAGGGTTAACACAATTCTAATGCACACATACATACAAGGTCATTGGAATGTTGTTTCTAATAGCTAGAGATTGAACCTAGCTCAGCTACCTTTCAGTAGGGTACTTCAATGAGGAAACTAGCCAGGCCACTAGGCTATAGGACAGTCATATAATTACATATTATGTAACAAAGAACCTTTTATGAGGGAGGGCCTTCAAAATATATCAACTACATTGAGTGGTGATGCATGACTTTAGTCCCACACTTGGGAGGCAGAGGTGGGTGGATCTGAGTTCCTGGCCAGCCAGGGCTATGTGGTCAGACCCAGTCACAACGGAAAAACAAAGTTAACTGCAGAAAGAAGCAAACACACACCTACCTGGTGCTGTGTGTGAGGGAAGGATCTGCAAGGAGGGACTCCAGGCCCCAGCAATAGAGGCCATGGTGAAGAGCACCCCTCGCAGGCTGGGGCCTAGGAGTAAGGGAAGGACATTTCAGGGTCTATGTATTTACTTCCTTTGAACCCGGAGCTGTGTGATGTATTACTTGTTCAAAGAACAAAGCTCTAAAGATTCCCAGAGACCCAGATTCCATGGTTCTCACTCCAGGCTTCTAATGTTTTATAACTTGGTGACCTAACTTTTTCAGACCCAGAAGGCTCCTCTTGCATGAGACCAAGGATTTGAAGCCCTGTCAAGATCTTCCTGACCTGTGCTACCCTAAGGCAGGCCCTGCAGCCTTTGCAACATAGGTGGCTCCAAGGAATGGCTCCCTTCCTGTGTGGTTCAACTGTAGGAGCTCTTGGTAGCCCGGGGATACAGCTCTCAGGCTCCTCACTGTATCTTGTTCTCTGTCCTCCAGGGGAGCTTTCTCCGTGGTGCGCAGGTGTGTGAAGGTGCTGGCTGGCCAGGAGTATGCTGCCAAGATCATCAACACCAAGAAGCTCTCAGCCAGAGGTAGGCTCTGGGCTGCCCGCCCACTGCCAGCTGTCTAGGCTGCCATCGTTCTTGCTCTAGACCCGAATCCCAAGCTTGACCTCTGGGAGACACTGTTGACAGGATCAGCGGAGGCTCTTCCTTCTGAGGGAATAGATCCCCCACTTCCCATCCTCAGGGAGCCTAGGCTAGAGACTACAGCGCCTCCCAGATAGGCCAGGCCCTCAGTGGTAATCCCTCTCTCCCTTCTCCTCTGTCATGCCCTTCATGGCTTGCCTCCTAACCTTTGCCACATCTCTGCCCGAGTGTTCGTTCAGCCAGGCTTCTTTTATGGGCAGCCCTTTTCCTCCTCCCAGGCTCTCTCCTCAGGGTTACACCCCGGGAGCAGTCATATCGGCTCAGTCTCCATTTTCCTCTTTCCACTGTTTTTGATTTCCATGTAGCCTTCCCTTGGCTCACTTCCTTCTGTTCACCTCTTTGGCTCCTTGTTCAATCCCTGGTTTGTGGTGACTGTGAGTCCCAACAGAGTGGACAGGACTCACCCACTGCTCTGTGCTCAGCACCCAGGACAGCGCCCTCTGCAGGCCTCAGTGCTGTCAGAGCAACCTGTCTGTGGCTGTTCCCACCACACAGGATTTCACACAGGTGCTCTGAGGTGTGGCCTGCTTTTGAAAAGGACACCCAGCTAGTTCTACCTTCAGGGGCTTGAGGAACGTTTTGTCCCTTAAACCTTAGAATGACCCTGGCCAGTAGCAGCAGCCTTCCCTGGGAGATGCCCCCCATTCAGGCCTAAAACAGTTAAACTTGTATCTTAGTAAGATGGCCAGGTCCAGTGGAGTTTGGGGACTCTGTCCAGAAGAGTCCTGGTCATTCCCAAGTGTTTAGGACAGTAGTGGGTTTATTGGCAATCGAACATCCACCCCAAACAGATGCCTTGAAGACTGGTATGAGGAGAATTCGGTTGGGTGAGATGGGTGGAGATTCATGGGAGAGAGGTACAGTGTCTAAGTGTTTAGTAGGCTGTTGCTGTGTCAGGATGAGGGCCCAGCAGGCACAAGCTTATGAAGATCCTGTGGATGCTGTACAGGGAGTTCACGCTGGGGTTCTTGGATCAGTTCACCACCATCTCAGGGGACATGCATAGAGAGACAGAGGCCATGACTACTGTTTGGGAAGGTGACTAAACATCCTGGGCAGTGAAGACTCACGCTGTTTGTGTCAGGCACTTACTACCTAAGCCTTCTCTGTCTATCTGTTAAGACCTTGACCTCCTTGGAGGAAAGTGACCCTGCCTAGGAGGCTAGGAGCAGGGGAGCTGAGCAGTATAAGGGAACTTTCTCCTTGCCTGCCAGCCCTCTGGCCCAGCAGGGCAGAGAGCAGAGATTCCTTTGGCAGGTCTCTGTGTGTCACTCACCTCCACAGGGGGCTTTAAAGCTGTCACATTTGGCACTATTCTCTAAACTTCTCCTGCTGGCTCTCTGGGATGACTTCCTGCAGCTCCCAGCGGGAGCTGGACCCACCCAGGGCTTCATTTCGCCCCTCCCAGCAAGCTGTGGCTTCCCCTAGGACACTCCACATGGCCTCTTCTAGCAAGTAGTTCCCAACTCCGGGAGATATTTTTATTATGTCTTTTAAAATTAGTTCTTAAGAACAAAACCTTCATAATGTCACTCAAAGGGACCACAAGCAAATAGAATGAAACGTGAAATTTTTGCCTGTTCACATCCCCGCTGTTCCCCAATTCTAGTCTTAAAAACAAAATGCAATTGCCAGAGCTTCACCCTGGAGCTGAATAGTCTCAGTGAGGCTCCTGGGCAGCAAAAATCCTGGCATGTTGATGGCAGCCATGGGCTTCGGGCTAGACCCCGCCAGTTGCTCTATGGACGTCCTGAGGACTCTGGGCACACAGATGTGGTTGGTGCAATGGTCAGGGGTGGTCTTGTCAGGCTCTAGGCACAGACTCACAACACAGGCTCCGGAGTGATCTCTGAGCTTCCTAGGGACCTCGGGAGGCTTTGGGATTCTTGACTTTGTTTTCCCCACACTCTCCTGGCCCCTCCGGTCTTTGGATGATTTCTCTCATATCTTAGGATGGGGAGGGGCCTGTTTTGCTCCCAGTGCCCACCCCCACTTTTCATCCCTTCTGCTACAAACCTGTTTGCAGGAGCCCAGCCTCTCTGTATCCTGCTGTGTGCTTGTATGGCTCTGGTCCTGCCTGACCCTACTGGGATTGTCTGGCTCCAGGAACTAGACTTTCTCCAATTTGGCCTCAATACCCTGAGGAGGCCAGAGAAGGATGAAGGTCCCCCCAAGGTGTCATCATGGGTATTAGGGCCATGTTCTCAGGTACCAGGCAGGGTGTGGAAACTCTGAACTTGCTTGGATGTCTCATCACTGTGGGCTGGGACTGAGTCATGCACTAATTGATTATCAGTGCATTTATTAGCAGGAGCTAACACTGACACGCAGCTATGCCGTTTGCCTGTGCTAGGAGTTTGGACGAGCCTCTCGGAAGCTCCATGCTAGGCTCCTGGAACTTGGCAGTAACCAGGGGACAAGGCGCTGTTCCACTGGGCCTGTTTCCTTGGGAATGAGACATGAAGCACACCTATAAACTAGGCAGAGCGAAGAACTGAGGAGTGTCACCAAGAAATTCAGACTGGTATGGTGGCACATGGTTTTGAGTTCAAGACCAGCCTCATCTATACAGTGAGTTCTAGGACAGCCAGGATTATAACATAGAGAGACTCTGTTTAAAAGAAAGAAAGGCCAGACCTGGTAATGGAGAAGTGACAGGCAGAGGGACACTCTTAGGAAAGGCAGCTGGGGAAGCTCTCTGGGGAAGTGACTTTGTGATGGGATCTGTCTGAGGAGGTGGAAGCAGTAGAAGAAGGCCCAGGGGAGGAACACTCTAGGAAGAGGCCAGAGCAAGACAGAGGTCCTAAGATAAGACGCATGGTATAGCCAGGTGGTGGCAGTGCACACCTTCAGTCCCAGCACTCAGGAGACAGAGGCAAGCAGATCTCTGAGTCTGAGGTCATCTGGTCTACAGAGGGAGTTCCAGGACAGCCAGAAACCCTGTCTCAAAAACCAACCAACCAACCAAGCAAACCAAAAACAAACCAACAAAGAAGCATGGCCAGAAAGAGGTGAATGTGATTGGGCTTTGTGGCTAAGATGTTAGCTAGGGCCTTGGGTTGTAGCATAAATACATTGAGAAGCTGTTGGATACCCAGGAGTGATAGGGCCTTATTTACACACACACACACACACACACACACAGCCTTGACCACCAGAGACAAACAGCTAGGATGGAGACTTGATCAGTCTAGAAGTGATGTCCTCAGAGCTCTAAGTTCTGAAACGGTTTGGCTGCCTTGATCAGTGGCACTGATGAAGGGAGAGGGACCACTCTTTTATTACCAGGCCTCACTTTTCTCTTCCTATACCCAGAGCAGGAACACTCAAGAGAACCAGCCCTCAGTGCATTAGCAAATAAAAACTTGCAAACAGGGCTAGGAAATCCTGCTGGATGTTCTGTTCCCATGCAGCAGATGGGTGTGGCTAACAGGGAAAGTCACCAAGTAGGATGTCTTGTACCGTGCCTGTCTGCCCAGCATCACAGTCTTAAAAACAAGGACGTGGCAATTCCAGCAGGGAGGTCTGGTAATCGGAGTTAACGGGTTCGTGACCAGTGTCTTGCCCACCCCCTGTATAGTTTATCAGTGGGACTGCATTCCTGAGTCACCTCATGTGCAGGGCACGGCACAATTTCAGATTTAGATAGTGCTCTATGCCTTGGAATGTGCTGCCTGGGCCAGAGAATCCCATTCCTTCTGACGGGCCGGGCCGGTCCTTGCCTCTGAAGATCTCTGCTATGGTGAAGTGCATGCTGGGAGGGGCCTGGTCTGGGTCATTACCCCACACCTGAGGGTGTTGAAGGAGGCTGGAAGGGAGGGGTGGGAAGGGTATGTGGAGCTAATCTAGCCTTACACTCCATCACCACTTGCTGCAGCCTGCAGTAGCTTTTCAGCTGGGGAGCTGAGCCTGTCAAATCAGAATTGAACTTAATTGCTTTGCCATTGGTAAAGCCACATTTGAGCATTGATCTTGGCTTCTGCAGTCCACAGAGGGCAGCCAGCAATTGATTCAGTGGGGTGAGCAGGGGAAAGAAGGGCTTTCTCTATCCTCGCCATCCTGCTCTGGAGGGGCCGTCCTGTGGTGAAGTTTTAGTCCTGGGTCAGCCTTAGACTGTAGCATGAGTGTCCTTCTATGGGCTCCAATTTCCCATTAGGACACAGGCAGGCAGGAGTTGTGGTTCTCAGTCAGGTACAGAGAACAGTCCAATCACACTGCCTGACAGGGCCCTTGGCTCTTCCTTCCTCTGCGAAGCCAGAAAAATGACAGTATCCCCTAAGGATTGCTTGAATGGTACGCAAATGTTCTGCCCTGTGCCTGATATCAAGTAAATTCAGGTTGAGAATCTCCAACTAGAAAATCCTAAGAAAATCTGAGAATGGATGTGATGCAGCCAATGGGACATTCCACACCAGAAAACAACTGGGTTTTGTGTACAGCAGCATGAAAAATGTCATATAAAGTTACCCTTAGGTGCTGACTTTGGCAGCACACATACTGCAGTCAAATTACCCTTAGAGTGTGTGTGTGTGTGTGTGTGTGTGTGTGTGTGTGTGTATGTTTCACATACATACACTATCATTAGACTGCAGTCCCTTTTTTCAGGACAACTCATCATGTATATGTATATATTCCAAAACCCCAGATCTCAAGCACTTTTGGTCCCTGTTTCTGAGCATTTTGGACAAAGGATACTCAACCTCCATTCCACATTTGCTAGCAATTTCTCTATAAATGTTTTGTTCCCTTAGCTCAAGGATTAACTACTGAATTCTGGAAGAACGGCACAAAGGACATTGAAGAATGCACGATGGCCACTGCAGCCCTAAGATTGCCACTGGCTTGGGGATTGTGGCACCACAGACCACCATGGCAGACACTGACTGGGGTGGTGGCTACATGGTTCCTAGTAGACTGAGGCAGAAACCAAGCAGGCAACAGAGTTTACACAAGCTCTTACAGGTGGCTGGGAGACAGGGAGTCCTGGACAGAGGTCCTGGCAGGCAGGTGTGCAGCTCTGGGCCAGCCCCAAGGGGGCGACATACTAAATTCTACCCTGTAAGTCTTTGGAGATGTCTGTCCCTGGTTCAAGTGTCCTATGAAATGGAGGGCTGCTGGAGTACAGCTCTTCCGAAGAAAACTACCATAAGAATCTTGCCTCATCCATCCATCCATCCATCCATCCATCCATCCATCCATCCATCCATCTGCTGATTTCTTGAATAACTAGCATGTACCAAGCATTCAAGCAGATGCAGGTGATACAACAGAGACCCTGTCCAAAGATGTTGGTTCTATAAGACATGGAGATGTTGCCTAATCTCTGGAGCACAGAGGAGGGTCCCTACAGGCATAAATCAGGGTTGGCTTCTAGAAGCCAATGACATCAAGGGGCAGTAGGATCTAGTAATGGCTGGTGATATGATGTGCCTTCTGAGTGAACTGGTGTCTCCCAGAGGGGAACCAAGAAGGATAAACTTTGCAGCTCATTTGCCTGGAGCTCATGTTTGAGAGCAGGCCTGGGGGAGTTACAGGGCATTGTTGTATGCCAGGGCTCCAGACCTTGGGGTGGTTGGGCCTCATCATGCAAGAAGGGGTTGGAGAAGGCTCTCCTAGAAGAGCCCTGGGTACTGAGGCCTACAGAGGGAGAGAGGCTCATGTAGGTCCCCACCACCCACTTGCCCTTTCTGGGAACTCAGAAGCCCTGGTATATGGGCCACCTTTTCTAGTGCCTGGGGCCACCCTGGGAGGCAAGGATAATAGAGGCAGGGTGGGAGTCTAACTTCTCCAGGATTTATGTGGGAATCTGTATTTCAGATCACCAGAAGCTGGAGCGAGAGGCCCGCATCTGCCGCTTGTTGAAGCACCCCAATATCGGTGAGCCCTGGGGATTGAGGGGGTCCTGGCACAGTGTGGGGTGGTGGGGAGCAGTCACTGTCTTCTCTGGGGATGGAGGCTGCTGAGGGAGATGGGAAAGGAGGCGTCTTGCTCAGGACCAGCTTGCTTTGGGGGAAGGTGAAAAAAGGACCCTTCTTCCCTCCCACGCTGCCAGCAGCCTCCTTCAGAAAAGCTGTTTCAGGAAAGCTCTTGAAGCTGAAAAAGAAAGATGAAAATAGGCCAGGGGGAAGCTTGGCCTTGACCAGCAAGGCCCACGCCCCGGTGCACCACATGCAATGCCAGCCTGGATCTGTGGCCCTGTCCCGTTTCTGAGTTCTTCTCCCGCCTGCCTCTTGCCTAAGCTTGGCCCCTGCCCCAGAGTTAGACTGAGGGCAATCTTCTGGAGATGCTTGGTCTGTGGTGGCAGGACCATGGGAAGGCCCTGAAACACACTTCATTGCCTTCCGGCCCCTTCCCCTCCAGGGCATCTGGCCTGCAGATCCCGGTCAGTCAGGGAGGAGCAGGACTTTTAGGTCCTGTTTGTCACAGAATAGCTGTGAGGCCCTGGTGGGAATGCCACCCTCTCACAGTCTCTTTCCTCGTCTTCACCAGTGCTTGTCCTCCTTGAGTCACCTGGGCATCTTGGTCAGGGCAGCTTCTGCTTCTCTGGGCCTGAGATGGGCTGGGGTGTGGAAATTCTCACAGTTTCTCACAAAGAGGAAGCTAAGCTGCTGGTTTCCAGGGCTTGTTTTCAGGTGATCTGCCTCTGAGTTCTATGAGGAAGCTCCTGTTCCAACAGCTGTACCTTCTCCCACAGATGGGAAGCAGGCTTCTGCACAGAGCAGGAAGGGTTAACTCTCCCCAGCGAGAGTGTACCATCTGCTATTTTTACCAGAGGTCCCTTCCCTCCCCTGCACAGCAGCCAGAGGCAGGCCAGTAGCAGAGAAGAGGCCAAAGGCCACAGCTGGAGAAGGGCCCTAGCTGGACCCTGCTCTGCTCACCTGGGTCCTCTACCCCCTCTCTGCTGATGGATGGTTTCAGAGAGCTCTGACAGAAACCCCATGCCCTCATGGAGGCTGTTAGCTTGGGGGGAGAGTGCTAAACACATGATGATGATGATGATGATGATGCAGATGTGTGTGTGTGAGAGAGAGATCTGTGTTTGTGTCTGCGTCTCTATCTGTGCATGTGTTTGTGTGTAGTGTCTATGTGTGCACGTTTCTCTCTGTTTGTGTATATGTGCCTCTCTGTGTTTCTCTCTCTCTCTCTGTGTGTCTGTGGTGTGTATCTGTATGACTGTGTCTAATGTGGTATCTCTCTGTGTATGTGTGGTGTCTGTGTATGTGTGTGATATGCATACACATATATATCTACATGTCTCTGTATGTGTGTGTGTGTCTATGTCCAGACCTCTTCAAGGCATTGAGACTGTCAGGAGAAACGAGGGCAGGAATGGGCTGGACTAAACACGACTACTTGTGGAGAGCAGAGTTGAGCATGTAGCCAGAAGAATGTCAGAGCAGAAGCCATAACTCAGCTGGGGAGCTGGAAAGGCCTTGACCTTGCCCAACAGGTCACCCCAAGCTGGCATACTCTTGCCAGAGAAACCTAACATATATAGATGTGGTGCAGGAACCTAGAGGACTTCATGCCTGGAGAAACCTCACAAGATTTTAGCCTGCTTGGCAGTTCAGGCAAGGTGAATGGGCTGTTATCTGCTTGTGTCCACTGCCCTATCCCAGGGCATGAAAGTGGGGATCTCAGCACAGCCTGATCAGCTGTGTCTGCAGACCTTTTACCTTTCTGTTCCTGCCTGGGCAAGGGTGGTACCATCACCTCTTGTAATAGACAGACCCCAGAAGTCCATGCCCATGCCAGAGTGTGGGAAACCTTAATGGGGCTCTTCACAACCCAAGAGTTCAATGAATAGTGTGGGATGGGGAAGAGATAGCCCATTCAGCTATGAACTCCTCAGTGGAAGCATACATTAAAAAATGAGTGAGGTTGTATCCCCATGATCCAATCACTCCTCATAGCACTGCTCACTGGAGATCAAGTCTTTAACACATGAGCCTTCTTGGGAGACACTTCATACCCAAAGCTATAACAGCTTATCAGCAGCTAAGAATGCTTTCACCAGCTGGCAAGTTGGCTCAGTGATTAAGAGCCCTTAACTGCTCTTGCAGAGGAACTGGCCTCATCAGGTGCCTCACAACCACCTGAAACTCCAGTTCCAGGGGACCGGAGGCCTTTTGACTTCTGCTGGTACCTACACTCATGTACACATGCAGACATGTTCACACACACGAAGAGACATATAAATAAAAACAAAAGCAAGACTCTAAAAGAGAATGTATTGGCTTAACACTTCAGACAAATGACATGCGTGTAATCCCAGCATTTAGGAGGCAGGAGGATTGTGAATTTGAGGCTAGACTGAGCTTCGCAAGACAACCTTCCCTAAAAACAGACTAACAATAACTAGCAAGGACAGCAACAAACCAAGGTCTGGGGCTGCAGCTCAGTGGTAGAGCACTTCCTTTACTCTGTTTAATCCCGGCACTATAGAAAAGGACAAGGTCTTACTCTTTCCATTTCTGTGCAACCACCCCCACTCCATCATCTTCTACCTCCTGGCCCTTGGGACATCCACTCAGGCATTGCCTCTCAGCCCACCAAGTTTATGTACGAGTTGAGGGCCATGAGACACTCAAAGGCTCCATACTGAGTTGTAGCTCAAGGCCATCGGCACACACCCAGCTGTGGTTTCCAGTGAGAGGGGAGACTACAACCCTATTGCCCACTTCTCTCCATCTTCCCAGACAGACTTGCATGGGATTTAAGCTCAAACATCTTCTTAGAAAGAACTCCACGGCTTTACACTTTGCCTTTTCACCAAATGACATAATTTGGAGAAGATTCCAAACCAGAGGATGAACTTCCGAATCATTCCAACAGCTGTGTGGCTTCTATTATGCAGGAGGATCCTAATTGTCCCAGCCAACCCCCACCCACCACCGCCACCCCTCCCTTTACACTGACGGCCTGGTCTATGACACAGAGAAGGACTGGCACCTTAGCTTTTGAGAACTGGTTCTTGGCTGACAGGATGTAGCTTCCAGAGTCAGTCCTAGGCCCCAGGCCCTTCTTTTAAAAGCTGGGCAATTTAGGGAGCTCTGGATTCCTGGGAGCCTTGCCTTTCTGTTCCTGGTAAATGAGGTGTGAAGAGATGACAAATTTGCAGCCATCAGGGTTCAGGGACCAACCGCTGTCTCCCTTCACTCCTGCCCCTGGGACACCATTGTCTCTCAGATTGCCAGCAGAGCAGGGGTGTTAATGCAGGGCCAGCACTGAGGGGGTATGACTACACACCTCATGGGACTCTTGTGACAAGCTAGCAAAGTCTGAATAAGGAAGAAAGAAGTTCAGAAAGGCATAGCAACTTGTCCACCCACCGTCACACAGGCAGCTGTGGCAGAGACTGGCACCGCAGGCTCTTGTACCACTCTGGCTTGCTCAGCAACAATACTGAGGGTTGGGACAGGGAGAGGGACCACGCTGACACACAGAGGTCTTCAGTGTTTACGCCTCATCCCCTTTCAGTAATGCTGGAGGTCTTGGTGTGGTGAGCCCATTCCACTTGCTTCTGTCAAAGTTTGTGCTTAGGGACGGAGGGTTGAGGTGGTGGTTCCAGGAGTCTGACAGGGATAGAGAAGGTGGAGACCAGTGAACCACCGTGTAACCAGCTGTTTGGTCCTGCCCACAGTCCGGCTCCATGACAGCATCTCCGAGGAGGGACACCACTACCTTATCTTCGATCTGTGAGTCTTTTTCACATACACTCCAATGTGCCACGGGAGAAGGGTGCCTAGGCAGGGATGACCCATGACTTGGTCTAAATGTTCTCAGGCTGTGCAGAGTTCCCCTAAGTGTAGCAGGCTGCTACCCAAGCTGTGCAAGCTGGTCGTTCTGTTTAAAACACCAGACACAGTCAACCAGCATCATCCGTTTATTTTTGCTTCTCTATTTGTGGCCAGTGATGCTGCCTTGCCGTTCATGGTGGTGATATCAAGTTTCATTTTGAAATCTGGTTTGCCAAAGCTGGAGCAAAATGACAGGCTTCGGTTGTTCTTGGGCGGGCAGTAGCAACTAGTGAGGATGCTGGCCTTGTCTGTAAAACACAGCGATGTTGAATAGAGGGGAGGGCACATGGTGAGGACAGGAGCACATGAGCAATCTCCATAGCTTCCACTCACTTAAAAAATAAAAATGATTTAAAAAGAAAAAGAAAAGTGAGAAATAAGCTAAGCAAAACCAAATGGCCCATGGGCTTCCAGGGGTCTGATGGATCCAATGGCTATTTCTGAGCTACTGTCCCCACCAGTCTGGACCCAGTGAGAGGAGGGAAAGGCACCAGGCAGAGACAGGGCATGGGCGGCAGAGATTCTAAAGTCCCTGGCCCCTGCCCTTCTCGGATGATTTCCAGAAAGTTCCTCCAGGCCAGGTGGCACCTGGAGTCTCAGTGGAAGGGTGACTCCGTGCCTGTCTCCCCAGGGTCACTGGTGGGGAGCTGTTTGAGGACATCGTGGCCCGCGAGTATTACAGCGAGGCTGATGCCAGGTGAGTATCAGGAGCAGGCCGGCAGAGGCGCCTGCAGGGAGTGTACCTTTGTCTGCAGCCAGCTTGCCCAGGGGCCTGACCCCTCCCCTTTCTCTCCAGTCACTGTATCCAGCAGATCCTGGAGGCCGTGCTGCACTGTCACCAGATGGGGGTGGTGCACCGAGACCTGAAGGTGAGCGACCCTGGAGAAGCCAGGCCCCCTTGCTTCTGCACCCCCCTCCTGCCCCCATAACAGGCACCACCTGCTCTGCATTCCCAGAATTCATTTAATTTCTCCACCTTGAGGTGGGTGGCTGTGTTTTCCAGCCGTCAAGGCTGTCAGGTCAGGAAACTGAGTTCAGGGAGTTAGGACTACTAGGCCTCTGGCCTCTTCCCCATGCTGTTTGTGCCAGGCAGGCGAGGTGCATCAGACTGAGGCTGCCAAGTGGGCTGGAAACCAGCAGAACCCAGCTTGCTGCCTTGTAACTACTTGGCTTTTTTTTTTTTCTTTTTTGAAGGTTTATTTACTTTATGTGTATGAGTGTTTTGCCTGCCTGTATGCATGTATATCATGTGTGTGCACCACATGCATGCCTGGTGATTGATTGTGGAGGCCAGAAGAGGGCATTGGACCCCCTAGAACTGGAGTTACAGTTTGTACGCCTTCATGTGGGCACTAGGACTCAAACCCTGGTCCTCTGGAAGAGCAGCCTGTGCCCTTAACCATCGAGCCATCTTTCCAACCCCTTGGTTGGACTGTCTTGCTTAAAATCGCTGGGATAAGGCATCCTGTTACTCTTGCTCCTGGGTAAGAAGTCTAGCACTGTCATGGGCTGCATAGCTTTGCCCTATAAGTACGAACCTCATGGACACCCTCTGTCAGCCTTACAGCACCAGCAGTCAGTAACTCATAGAGCCCTCATTTTACAAAACAGGAAATGGACAGAATCCAAGGGGTTTGTCAAGGATACACATTTCAGTGGAGTCTGAGCAATGACAAGGATTCCTGGCTTGCTTTCAGCTGAGAGCCTGTGACCCCTCTCCCCATAATGTAGGTCCAGTTCAGCTTCTACAGCAGCTACCCCTCTGGGACAAGTATGCCAGGTGTCTAGGAACCTTGGTCGTCAGCGACTATGCACACATCCTATGGGGTAGTCCTGGCAAGAACACGCTTGCTTGTACTCACTGTGGACACCACTCACAGCCCCAGTTTGGAAGGCAAAAGAACTTGGGAGCCCCAGCCATAAAGGAATCCTCCTCAGACTTCTGAGGGCTGCAACCCCCATTCCCATGGGGATTGACTCTAGGCCCTTCTGAGCCTTGATAGCCTCCCTGTCAGCAACCTGAGTCAGTCCCCATCCTTCTTCATGGGGCAGTGCTCTGAAGAGGTCCCGTACCTCTTTCTTACTACCTTAGGGACTCTTTGAGGTCTCTCCTGTGCCCCAGGTGAGTTCCTTCTACCTTGGTGACAAAAAGGTGCACCCAGGAACAAGGTCTTTGTCCGAGGGCAGGGTGGCTTTCCCCAAGGGTCTGTTCTCGTTATGGTAACAGACCATGAGCTGAGAAGTGGCCCAGATTTAGGCCACTCTGCAATCGCTAATTAGTGGTACATTCATCAAATCAGGGCAGGTCACTACTGAGACACAGGGCATGTTGGGAACACAGCCCCAGAGGACAAAGGAGGCCTTACCAAGCCAGGTGAAGGGCCTTATTTCTCTGTGCCATGCTAGCTTTGGACTGTGAAAGGTCGGGAGAGGAAAGGATGAGAACCAGAGCAAGCCTGGGCTGTCTCTAGAATGCTCCAGCCCTGCCCCCAGCAGGAAGTTTGAGCACTAGGCCTGGTGCTCATAAAGCGGAACCCACTGCTGTTCACACACCTAGACTCCCGAGCTACCAGGCAGGCATCTGCCCCTTTTCTCTGAAAGGAGGCCAACCGTCAGAGCAGGGAAATCATCTGGCCAGGTTCCACCACAGCCATGGCAGCGCTAGAATTAGAAGCCAAGACAAAGTGTGGGATCCATACTCTTAGCTTCCCTTTGCCCAGAGTCTCCCTGTGGCAGGAAGATGGGAGAAGTGGGAGAATTTGGGCACCCAAGCCAGAGGCAGCAGCCTTGCTGCCCCAGAGGTCAGCTGGCCGCATCCCCCGTGTCAACCGTGGCCCCGCGTGCAAGCCCCGTTGTCTTTAAGATGGAGTCAGCCTTTGCCTTGACACCTGTCATTCAACAGCTGTGACAAAGTCACATAGCCCCCCCCCAGAGCCCACTTTCTCCATCCCATACACCCGATAACACATAGTTAGCAAAAGGAGCTAAGTTGGACTGGTGAGAGAGAGCTCTTCGGAGGGCAGACATGAGTCTGAGAGCAGGACAGAGATATTTGGGAGGAGAGCAAGCCATGTAGGGAGCTCAGGCAATGCAAAGGCCCTGAGCTGGGGACTAGAGGACTGTTTTGAGGGATGAAAGCAGTCAACGTGGGAAGCAAGGATTAACACATGTCCTGAGGTCCCTGGGGAGACGTCTGGCTGGTGGGAGGTGGATGGTGGACCACAGCACTGTGCTGGTATTAAAAGATGCTGCTGGTTTCTTAATGAGGCTGGGCTGTGTCACCCTGGTCCATCTCAGCTCTCTTCAGCTCCAGCTCTCAATTCTGGGGAGGCTGTGGGAGAAAGAATTTTTCTGTTGCAAAAGCTGAGGGTCTTGCTGTAGTTCCCATCTTGGGAACAGGAACTCAGGATCCTGGATTTGGAAGTGTCAGAGGGGGCGAGACCCTTGCTGTGTGGCCATTCTTCCTTTTGCCCAGGCTGCAGGCGAGGTTCTGAACCTACTGACTATCTCTTGGTTCCCTCTTCCCTCTCCCTTCCTGGTCCTGGGAAGCCTGAGAATCTGTTGCTGGCCTCGAAGCTCAAGGGTGCGGCTGTGAAGCTGGCAGATTTCGGCCTGGCCATAGAAGTGGAGGGAGAACAGCAGGCATGGTTTGGTGAGTGGGTGTGGGGTGTGCAGTGGTAGGGGAGGGCACGGGAGGGGCATACTGTGTGTGCGTGCCCCTGGGAACCCTCTGCTCAAGATGAGATGAGGTGGCTGTTTGGCCATCTAGGGTTGCACCTAGCCAGCCTCTGGGCCAGTGGGAAGAACCTGCCTCTTTCCCTTAGGAGTAGGTATGGGCACAGGACCATCACTAACCAGGCGGCGCGTCTTGTCTGTGGTTGCATCTACTTCTAGGCTGGCAGGAACTCTGTAGGGTTTCCCTGGCCCTGGATGCTAGGTGTTACACAGAATGGACTGGCTAAGCGGCTTGGGAAAGGTCAGAAGAACTTGACAGGTGCAGAGTCCTTCCTGGTGCTTGAGAAAGACACCCAGCATGCCTCAGGATTAAAAATAACGGGGCGTGTTTCCTCCCTCTGGGTGCTTCTTAGTGAGTGATATTGACCAATAGTAAAGACCCAGAACACTTAGGCTGGTTGTGGTGGCACCTACCTCCAATCCCAGCACCTGGAAAGTAGAAACAGAACAACAGGAGTTCAAGGCTAGCCTGAGCTACACATATGAGACCCTGCCTTAAAACAAAGAAAAACAAATAAGAACCAGAGTTCTGGGTTCAAATCCTGGCTCTGCTATTTACGCGGTGTGTGGTTTTAATCCAGTCTTGTTTTCTTCATCTCTTAGAAGAGAATAGTAGCATGTCCCTCAGGGAATCCAAGATGATAACTAATAGCGGGCATGTGAAGTGATTAGCACACCTCTTCAGCAACTAGTAACTACTCCTGAGATGGCTAGTTAAGATATCTAGTTAAGATATCTTGCTGTTCATTATTCCAACATTCTTCTCAGTACTGAGAAGTATTAAAGGTAAGACTGGCTAATCCTTTATTTGACAGATTAGGAAACTGAAGCCTAGAAAGTAAAAAGTAAACACACACACACACACACACACACACACACACACACACACACACACAACTTAGCCAGAGTTAGGACCAAATCTCTGTCGTCTCATAAGCAGCCCTTGAACAGGGTGTGGGGTATGAGCAATGGATCAGTTCTTAAAGGTCACCAGCATGTGGCAGGTAATGGCTGCAGAGAAGGTTGGGACCCAGGGAGAAAGGAGCTCTGTGATTGATTATTTTTGTCTACCCGAGGCTCTAGATGGGGAGCAGAAGGCAGGTGTAGCATATCCCTGTCTGGTCCAGTCAGGTATATAGGCCTCGTCAGTTTACCAAGACCCCTGGGTTTGCACAGTACACCCCCAGCTTTGGGGCAGGGCTGTGTTCTCCAGCTCCAGGGCTATCCTCGTCCCCTCTCCTGCAGGGTCTTGCTCCAGACTACTCACGTGCCAACCTCTGTGTGTGTGTCTGCCTGTCTGTGTGTCTGGGGAGCAGGGTTCGCAGGGACACCTGGATACCTCTCCCCAGAAGTGCTGCGGAAAGACCCGTACGGGAAGCCTGTGGACCTGTGGGCCTGTGGTAAGTCCACCCGAAGGCCTGATTGTCACCCAGGACTACAGGTTCCTCTCTTCTTTCCACCACTCTCCTGCTTTATCTCTCCTCTCCTCTCCTGCTCCTCTCCCCAGGGGTCATCCTGTATATCTTGCTGGTTGGGTACCCCCCATTCTGGGATGAGGACCAGCACCGCCTGTACCAGCAGATCAAAGCTGGTGCCTATGATGTGAGTGTTGCTCCCCTCTCCAGTCCATGCTCGCCTTCTGGTGAGAGCCAGTGGCCTAGGAGACCAGAGATCCGGAGACACATTACTGCCTACCACTGCAGGGTTGCTCCAAGACAGACTATCGGAGCCAGGCTGTGACCACATGGTGCCTGATGATTAGGGCTTAAAAGTCATGGAATTTATTCCATGGAGCATTAGAAGGTAGAGGCAAGTGACAGGCTCCAAGCACTTTATTTATTTATTTATTTATTTGTTTGTTTGTTTGTTTATAATTAATTAATTAAAAAAGATAATGTCTCATGAGACCAGACTGGTTTGAGGCCTCCTGATTCTCCTGCCCCCACCTCCCAAGTGCTGAGATGGTCATTGTCTTGTACCTTACCTGACTCTGAGACCTGCCTTTTTTTTTCTTCCGTATATTAAAACAACTGAGCACTTCTGTCCCATTCTTCTGAATATTTTACACGTATTATCCCATGTAACCATCACCCCAATCTGTGACATAGTCATGATCTATTACCCTTCATTATACATGTAGAGAGGTTGAGGACAAGGAGACTTAGTGACTGGGACCAGAGTATAGCAGTCTGGGTTGGGGGCCCATGCTTCTAAGTACCTTGTGGATGCCTGAGTGGTTGGGCACGAGAACCCCTGCCTGCTCCCCTGCCAGTCAGGGGCTGGAGGATCGCAGGGGTGGCCTGGGGCAGGCTAGGCAAACCTGGCCCCTCTGCCCCTTCCAGTTCCCATCACCAGAATGGGACACTGTCACCCCCGAAGCCAAGGATCTCATCAATAAGATGCTGACCATCAATCCATCCAAGCGCATCACGGCCGCTGAGGCCCTCAAGCACCCCTGGATCTCGGTGAGCCTGGATCTTCATCGCAGCCCACTCAGGAGGCCTGGTCCCTCAGGGTCTTGTCCTTTACCTTGCAGCCTCAGTGTGGGGTTGAGGGGGCTTGCTGTGGGTCTCGGGGATGATATGGGAATGAGGAGGGCTATTCTGGGTTGGCATCATGTTGGGGGTGTCACTGGCATTGGCTGACTGGTGCCAGGATCCTAAGCATCCCACACCATGTGGAAGGATAAAGGATTATCCTCCTTAAGATGCTGTCATTTCTCCTCAAATGCCTTTGGGTCAGTCTGCCCTCACACAGTTCTCTTCCTCTCTCCAGCACCGCTCCACTGTGGCCTCCTGCATGCACAGACAGGAGACCGTGGACTGCCTGAAGAAGTTCAATGCCAGGAGGAAACTGAAGGTAACCTGTCCTTGTTCTTGGCATCCCTGGACTCACCACTGATTTCCTCCATCAGTTTCATGTGCATTTGCTGGACATTCTTGCACACTGGCCACCAAGGGTTTGGGGGAGTGAGCAACAGATCTGACCCCCATCTTACCCTGTCTGCCCTCTGATTGAGAGCACAGACAAGCAGGACTCTACTGGGGCATGGTGAGTATTGTGCCTGATAGTGGGTAACACAGGAGGTCGATGGCATTCCCTGGTCTGGAGGATTCTGGAAAGGATTTCAAGTGGCCTTCCTGGAGGCAGGGGCATTTCAGGTGACTCTTTGGGACACATAGATGTAGAGTAACAAGGGGGAGAGAGATGTTTCAGACATAGCAATTGCCTGAATAGATATCTGCAAGTGTGAGCACTGCTCTCTAGGGGGCCAGGGATGGTTTAAGAGATTTTGGGGGCGGAGCAACATGTGATAGGCATGAAACCACAGTTGAGTGAGGGAGAACCCCAGTTGCTGAGCATGGAAGAAGAATGGATGAGTTCGTCAGAAGTAGGTTAGGGGGCCTGAGAAAGCCACTGTAGAATCGAGGTGGGCTCTGAGCTGAGCCGTCTCAACAGGTTCTACACCCTGCAGGCTAAGAAGGCTTCTCCATGATTGCTAGTTGTCAGTGTGCCTGATGGGGACAGAGAGGGCAGGTGTGGAGGCCTTGACCCATGTACTGCTCCCAGAACTGGAATGGAAGCTCAGGATGGGAACTTGGGCCAAAGGGGTGATGGCTGGCATGTTGTCATGGAAACTGAGTCCCACTCCCACCCCAGCAGGAAGTGTCTCAGAAGAAGGAAGTTCCCCAGTGTGGGAATCAGGGATTCTTGACTCAAGGGGTTACTGGATTTGAAATGGTCCAAGTCAGGTTTTAATGAGACAATATGAGGACCAGTCAGGCCCTGGTTTCCTGCCCCTTACCAACTTAGAAAGGGCTTCTCTGAGTTGATATCCTCCTGTGTGTGGTCCAGAGACCATGGAGGGAAGAATTCATTCTGGGACTAGGTCCTCCAAGCCTAGTAGCACGAGCATTATCTGCCTTCCTAACCCAGGCAGGAAACTTCTGTAGCCTTTAGCAGCCCCTGCTAGAGCGTTTTTGAGTCCATTAGTTTTGGCCAGACTGTGGAGCTTATTAATGTCTGCTGCTGTCTCAAGATCTGTGCCTGCCAAAGCTACTCCTCCAGGGAGAGTGGATGGGCTCTGGACTAGAGGGTGGGGTGGGGTCAAATGGCGGGGAAGGGGCAGAGGCTTTGGCTTGTCTCTGAAGGGCACACTGCCTGCTCTTCCCCTGCCTTCCTGTCCCTTCTGTGTTCCTTTCCTCACCCGTGCCTCTCCTTGGACCCATCTTGTCTGTTGCAGGGAGCCATCCTCACCACTATGCTGGCCACCAGGAACTTCTCCGGTAGGTGGTGGGGCTAGAGTCCCCAGTACATCCTGCACTGGTCTGTTGGATGCCATTGTACTGTTGGGTAGCTGGGTGGCCCCAGAGACAGGGTTGCAGAAGATACCATGATCCAGGCTTAGTTAACCCATCACAATCGGCACAGAGAAAGGAAAGAAGAGATTAAAAGTCAGCAAACTGAGGCCTGGCTAGAGGTTCATTCTGGCTTCCCAGTCCACAAAAGCACTGGGGTTCTCAGGGCAGGCCAGCTAGAGGGGCAGACAGTTATTGACATCTAGTCCAGCACGAAGGAGTCAGACTTTAGGAAGCCCTGTTGTTAAAGCTGTTTGCCAAGAGGCACTTGGCTTCAGCTCAAGCTGCTTCACAACAAGGCAGTAGAGTGACACTTCCCCCCTTTTCCCAGGGTGACAAAAGCTTATGTGCTCTGTCCCCTCCCAGGTCTCAGAACTCAAGAGAGGCAGGCCCTGTCCTTAGCACAGGTCTGACCAACGCAGAGCAGATAGTTTTATTCAGGTTGGGTTACCCAGGAGCCCAGGGCAGGAGACTCCCAGGCAGGGAGTAGCCAAGTCCTCGGGCATGTAGCTCCAAACAGGAGGGAAAGGGATTATTGTCAGAGCTTAGCGACTGCTCTTGGCACACGGGTCAGTGTTGTGCCAGCAATGCTTCAGGCCTCTCCCTAGGGAGTCCTGGGTGCTGATGGCGCAGGAGAACTGATTTAGAGAGTAGAAGCAGCAGAGTTCACTGGAGGGGCTGGGCCAGCACAGACATTTGCATAGACAGACAGGCCAACTACAACCAGGGGTCACTTCTGAGCAGGTGCTGGCTCGGGTCTCTCTCTTAGGAGGGTCTGCCTGTATGGTGACCCAGGAGAAGGCCCAGCTTCAGAAGTAGGCTTCATTCACACTGAACTCTCTCCCGTCATGAATCTGGCTGTTCCTTTCACTGAGCACGGAAAGCTGAGCTTCACAGACAGGGTTTATTTTGTTTTGTTGTTTTACAATTATAGCACCCTGGAGAATACCAGTCTCAAGCCCACAGAACAGGGGCCCAGAGACGTGGGCATTTTTATTTTGTTTTGAGGGTGGCAGAGGAGTGCTGGAGAGATGGCTCAGCAGTTAGGAACATTTACTGCTCTTGCATAGGCCCAGGTTTCTAGAGCTGTAATTCCAGTTCTAGGGGATCTAACACACTTTGTTTGCCTCCATGGGGTCCTGTACACATGTGCTACACATAAATTCACGTAAACACACATAAATAGCTAAATTTAAAAAAAGAAGAAGAAGGCATTTTGGATCTGACTTTGATTTCTAATTCAAAGAGAGAGAGAGAAAGAAGAAAGAAAAGAAAAAATTTGGGGAAATAGAGTTCTAATCATTAAAAATCAAAGACTTGGGGGCTGGAAAGATGGCTCAGTAGATAAAATGCTTGCTGGACAAGCGTGAAGACCTGAGTTCAAATCCCTAGCACCTGTGTGAAAAGCTGTACCAGTACCTGCCTGTAATCCTAACACCAGGAGGCAGAGACAAGGTTATCTGGACAGCTAGTCTAGCAGATAGGTAAACTCCAGGTTCAGTGAGAAGTCCTGTCTCCAAAAGCAAGGGGGACTGGAGGTACAAGCCTTTAATTAATCCCAGCACTCAGGGGGCAGAGAAGCAGGTGGATCTCTGTGATTTTGAGGTCAGCCTGGTCTACATAGCAAGTTCTAGCCAAAGCTACATGATGAGACCCTGTCCAAAAGAAAGAGGAAAAAATGTGATCAAGGGAGGTATCCAACATTAGCTTCTAGTGTCCACGTGTGTTCATACAGACATACACATATAAGCTTTCCACAAAAATAAATCAGATTACACACACACACACACACACACACACACACACACACACACACACAGAGAGAGAGAGAGAGAGAGAGAGAGAGAGAGAGAGACTTCTGTGATCTTTTGAAAATCAGTCTGGGAACTGGGGATGTAATTTGCATTGTACAATGCTTGCCTAGCACTTTACATGTTTACATGTTTAGCCTTGAGTTCTTGTTCATTTGTTTTTTTTTTTTTTTTTTTTTTTTTTTTTTGAGACATGGTTTCTCTGTGTAGACTAGGCTGGCCTCAAACGCACAGAGATCCACTAGCATTGGCCTCCCGAGTGCTGGGACTAAAGACATGTGCCATCACAGCCCGGCTGAACCCTTGAGTTCTTCTCAATCAAAGGCTAGCTTGGTCCACAGAATGAGTCCCAGAACAGCCGGGACTACATAGAGAAACCTTGTCTGGAAAGACAAACAAAACAAACAAAAAATTAGCAGTGTGTGTGTGTGTGTGTGTGTGTGTGTGTGGTGGCACATAGCTGTAATCCCAGGATTCCGGAGACGGAGGCGAGAAGATCAGAAGATTACACAGTGCATTGAGGCCAGTCTGGGCCTATTCCGAAGGAAAAGGAAAGAAAATCAGGGTCTAGCTACACTGGACACAAACCTGTTACAACAGTGAGCACAGTCTCCAAGGAACACTCTCCCCTGCTGTGCGGTCCCACTTGCACAACCTGGAGAGACAAACACCGGTCCTTTAAGGCTTGGCACACAGAACTGACCTTCACTCGCTGGGAATTTTGAGAGGTCACAGGTAAAGTTATAGAGGGACAGAGAGCTGGGACATCTGTGAACTCATCCCTCAGAGCCCCTCAGGCATCGGTGTCCTTACCCCTAACACCCCCCCCATGCCTCCCCAGTTTACTTTTGGGCTTCCTAGAGGAGGACAAATCATAAATGTCACTGAGGGCCGACTATATATATCCTGAATGCTGTGCTAAGCACTTCATAGAGCCATGTCTCATTTAAAGCATTTTTGAAAGGTCTGTAGTGGCCAAATACCAGTGAGGGCAGGACTGGCTATTCATGCTACCTTCTGGCTCCTGCCCACCGACTGCCAGAGATCCAGTCAGGAATTGAAGGAGGAAAAGGGAACTGCATGGTCCCAGCTTCCGTGAGAGTGGTGGCCGTTTTTTTTTTTTTTTTTTTTTTTTTTTTTTTTTTTTTGTCTACCACCAGGACTCAGCCAGCCCTAGAGTAGGATTCCAGAGGTTGAACTTAGGCCTATGCTGCTGAGAAGAAAGGCATGGAATGAGTGTTCTGGGAGGGGTGGGCCCCAGCAGGAGAGACATCTGCTTCTTGTCACCAGCAAAATGCAGTCTGCAGCTGTCCAGAGTGAGTAGGCAGGGCTGACACATGACCTCAGCAGCAGCATGGGGCTAAAATTAGAGAGGGCCAGGGCAGGTGGGGGCCAAAGCAGGGAGCTTCCAGCCCTCAATCCGGCTGCAGGCCTCAGAGTTGGCCACCAACAGCCGTGGTGACAGGGATCCAGAGGGAATCCCCAGGCTCAAACAGCAACCCTACAGTCCCAGGACACATTGGACACCTCTCCAAGCCCCAAAGTCACAGGGCTCTCCCCGCCTGAGGACCGCAGGCCCACTCTGCCGGGCCGTGGAAGGTGGAAGGCGGGGAGGAGGAAGCCTCTCGGTGGCCAAGCCAGCTCTGTTCCCAGACGGTTTACCTTACTCTACTCTCAGCTGCTCTGCTGCATGCAAATGCTGCTCTTCCTCATCCTGGGGACCCTGGTGCCCTGCCTGGTGTTGCTAACACTCTACTTTCTCTCCTCCACAGGAGGGAAGAGTGGAGGGAACAAGAAGAACGATGGTGTGAAGGTAAGTCCCCAGGAGCCCGCAGGCCTGTCTCTGGCAGAGACCTGCTGTCAGGCCTCGGGCGAGACCCGGCCTCACTAATGGTGACATGTCAGATCCAGGACCGCTGTCCCCATATCAACCAGTTTGTGCTCACCATGGTTGCTGGGGGCAGACTGGGGATGGCAGGTGGCTTGGGTTGCCCGGAACACAGTAAAGGGGCAGATCTTGAAGAAGCTTCTGGGGCTCTACGGGGCTGGAAAACTTAACAAGAGGGAACAAAAGGGACAGAAATGGTCACTGAGGTAAACTCATCCTGACCAAGTATGAGGGGCTGGATGGGCCTGGCCTGTGCCTACACTAGTGTAGCCTGTAATCCCTGGCGAACGGGCAGTTATTTCACCAGGCTTTGGGACCCAGAAGGCCCTCTTCTCCACCAGTGCCTGTCCCCTCTGCCCAACTCGGATGCCCAAGCTACCTCTCTCCCTGCCTCCTGGCCCCTCTTTCCCGTTTCTTCTCAACTTCTCCCTCTGATGTCTGGGGCCTAGTCCCTTTGCTCTGTGCAGCCTCCTCCCCTCTGCTACCTGACTGCCTTGTTCTGGACTCTGCATCCACTTACCCGGGACATTAGAAGGTGTGCGGTCCTGAATGGCCACCCAGGTCATTCAGTGTGTGCTGGCGGCTGCACGGCTTCTATTAGAATGGCCACGGACTGCTTGGGACTGCATGGGGAGAATCTGGGCTGGGTGTGAGGTCAGAATTGGGCTTCCCCTTCGCCCATCGCCTTTTCCCACCTGAGCTTCTTAGGGGCCTCAGGTGGGATGTGGACTTGGTGATAATTTCTGAGATTTCGGCTCTGGAAACATACCAGAGTGCAACCCTTCTCCCAAATCTAACTACTTTCCCTTCTCATCTTGTATGCTTGAGGCCTGTGGCCATGTGCTGTGTAGTAATGCTTGGTCAGCCAGCCTCAGCGACTACAATGGAGCTGTGAAGTTCCCAGCAGTTTTACTGACCCTTCCCCCACTTTTTCTTTCCCTTTCCTTTTTTTGATATAGGGTCTCACCATACAGCCCAAGCCAGTCTCAAACTCTCCATCTTTTTGGCCTAGCCTCCAGGGGGCTGGAATTACTGATGTGTACCACTAGGCCAGGCCCTTGTCACACTTAGACATGCTTGGATTTGTTTAGGTGTATAGTATTTACCATGTATTACAGATGCATGCTGGACTCAGTGTAGTAACATGCCGTGTGGATTTGGAGCCTTGGAGCACTAGAGATATCATATGCCCTAAGGTCACTTCATGATACTTTTGCAGTGACATAATTTCTCATGACACATTTCTCAGAATATGCCATTGTCCCTAAGAAACATATGACTGTACAGTTATTGGGTTATTAGACAAAAATCAGTGCTTTTCAAAATTAACTCTTTGGACCCAAATATTCTAGGGAGGTTCTTTTGGCAGCAGATGGAGTTGAAGAGGACTAGACAGGAGAAGTCCCAGTTTTTAAAGGTCCTGGGATCCCTGCAAACTCAACAACTTCAAATGTTAAAGTCATCATGGTGGGCCAAAGAATAGGGTGGGTTACTGACAGCTGGGGCTTGGCTGGTTCAAGTCCTGGGACTGTCCGTCCTCCTGCTTGGCTGGAGGTGAAGGCTAACACATGTTGAGAGTATAAACAGAGCTCATGTGCACCGAAAGCCATTGAATCAGGAATATCTTTCCTGTTCTGGGTGCCAGACTTTATCTTCCCTTGAAAACAAATCATGCTCAAGAAAACACTTGAACACCTCAGACGAAAAGTTAACACACACTTGTCATAGAATTAACATACATGTGGTGGTGGACTCTGGTCTGCTGTCTGAGTGTCCTTGAGCCAACTTTTGCTCCCTAGCTGAAGTGGGTGCTAGAGAGATGTACTACAGAGCACTGCAGGTCTAAAGTGGTTGGGGACCCTCTCCACCCAGCATATGTAGATAGCTGCTGAGCTGAGGTGCCCTGGTCTGCCTGGCTTTTGGACTGGTCCTGGCAGATGGTTGAAGAACCACTGGGGTTGGCGTCAGGAGAGGCTCCCGTTGGGCCAGGGTTAGGGCTGACACTTCAGATCCAGCTGTTCTCACACAGAGGCAGAAGGTAGGAATGGCCATGGCTAAGCAGCACTTAGAGCATGATGCTCTGCTGGTCACCAGGCTTCTTTCCAGTGAGCACAGCTGGACAAAATGCCCCTGCTTCCTTCAGGGTAGGACATACCCAAGTGACTTCTTTAGGGTGGCCTAGATGTGGGTAAAGAGAAACCCAAAGGTTGTCCCTGACCCAGCCACCTCCTTCCTTTCCTAGAAACGGAGGAGGAAAGAGTAATTTGGGTCTGGCCTAGAACTTGGGTAATGGCTCCACTCCATGGGGCAGAGTGTGCAGCGGGGTTTGGGGAGGTGACAGTGACATACTTTTAAGTCCTCAAGTCAAAAAGCCATGTGGTTGAATGGGAGCCTCACTGGTCCTTCTTACCCAGGGTTGGTCCTGGTCCTGCCATCTCTACCAGGAAAGTTGGAGAGTTGTTTCCAAAAGTTGGTGAGATGGTCTCACCAGGGAGACCCCTGGGAGTTGCATCATGCAGACACACCCAGCTTAAGGGGGGAAATCTGTGCTCTTTCTACAATCCTGTGCTGAGAGACAAACGGTTCCATGTGGAGCTTGATGGAGAGGTGATGCGGCCTGTTCAGTCACCAAGGGAAGGGCTGCTCTGCCTGAGTGACAGGAGCTTCTTGAGCCTTTACAGGCTTCTCGGGGCTGAGGCTGACTGTACTGCTGTTCTGCAACCCTTGCCGATCTTGGAACCAGCCTCTGTTTGTGGTTCTGAGAGGCAACTCGACTTTTGCTGACAGCCCCCTTTCTATGCAACTCTCAAGTGCTGGTCAATAGGATTTGTCATTCTTGGAGATAGCATCTCTGTCCTCAAGAAGCAGCGTCCAGCCCTGGCCTCCTTTAGGCCTTGGTTTCCATAGGAGGAGTCCACTGCTCCCAGCCCTCACCTCACTCACTGCCCTGTTGGTGTCCCATCCGTGCCATTGTTGACCTCTCCCCCATGTCCCATCCTGTCACTGTACGTCCGAATCTGATGCAGTCTCTGCTCTGTGTTTCCTCCTCGTGTTCCACCTGGAACCTTCTGGCCCATGGGGGTGTCTTTGGGCTTCTGCTGACAGCTGAGCTGTATGGGCCTGTCCCCCTTCCCCGCACACTGTCTGGACAAGCTGCAGCCATGGAGGGAGGCCAGCATAGAGGAGAGGAGAGAAGAGGAGAGGAGGGGAGGGGAGAGGAGGGGAGAGGAGAGGAGGGGAGAGGAGGGGAGAGGAGAGGAGAGGAGAGGAGGGGAGGGGAGAGGAGGGAAGGGGAGAGGAGGGGAGAGGAGGGGAGGGGAGAATAGAGGAGAGGAGGGGAGAGGAGGGGAGAGGAGAGGAGGGGAGAGTAGGGGGAGAGGAGGGGAGGGGAGAGGAGGGGGAGGGGAGAGGGAGGGGAGAGGAGAGGAGGGGAGGGGAGAGGAGGGGAGGGGAGAGGAGGGGAGAGGAGAGGAGAGGGAGAGGGGAGAGGGGGGGGAGGGGAGGGAGGGGAGAGGAGGGGAGGGGAGAGGAGAGGAGGGGAGAGGAGGGGAGGGGAGAGGGGGAGGAGGGAGGGAGGAGGGGAGAGGAGAGGAGAGGAGGGGAGAGGAGGGGAGAGGAGGGGAGAGGAGAGGAGAGGAGGGGAGAGGAGGGGAGAGGAGGGGAGAGGAGGGGAGAGGAGGGGAGAGGAGGGAGAGGAGGGGAGAGGAGGGGAGAGGAGGGGAGAGGAGAGGGAGAGGAGAGGAGAGGAGGGGAGAGGAGGGGAGGGGAGAGGAGGGGAGAGGAGGGAAGAGGAGGGGAGAGGAGAGGAGAGGAGGGGAGAGGAGGGGAGAGGAGGGGAGAGGAGGGGAGAGGAGAGGAGAGGAGAGGAGGGGAGAGGAGGGGAGACCAGAGGAGAGGAGAGGAGGGGAGAGGAGGGGAGAGGAGGGGAGGGGAGAGGAGGGGAGAGAAGGGGAGAGGAGGGGAGAGGAGGGGAGAGGAGAGGAGGGGAGAGGAGGGGAGAGGAGGGGAGAGGAGAGGAAGGGAGAGGAGGGGAGACCAGAGGAGACGAGAGGAGGGGAGAGGAGGGGAGAGGAGAGGAGACCAGAGGAGACGAGAGGAGGGGAGGAACAGTTGCAACGTTTTGCAATGAAGCCACACTACCCAGCCACCTAGGAAGGTGGGCATTCATGCCTCGTGAATACATGAGATAGAACTCTACAGTGAGATATATTGCCCAGTGTGTGGGGTCCCTGGTTAAAAGACACATGTTTAGGCCTGAGCATACAGATGCCTACTGGATTATAAAAGCAGGAAACCCTGAGTCTAACCTGAGTCTCTCAAGGCATATCCAGTGCTCGTTGTAGCATGGGCCTACACTGGAGGGACCTTAAGTCTCTCCTTTACTTTCTTCATGGGCTTGTAGGCAAGGGACTCCTGGCTCTCAGAAGGGAAGAATCTAAGATATCCTGCACCTTTGAGGAGAGTCTCTTTGGAGTCCTGGGCCAAAGAAAGAGCCATGTCTCCAGCACCTCTGTTTCCTTCTGCATAGCTGTTGACTTCTGAGAGAGCCCGTGAAGACTGCCCCCCTCTAAGGGCCCACATTTGTCTTCTTGGGACACTCAGACCCACATTACTCTATGAACAAGTCTTCAAGATGCCTGGCTCTGAGGACTGAGTGAAGGAGAAGCAACCCACATTGCTCCTACCTCTTCCCTGGACCCCAGAGCTAACACACAGATGGCGCACCCCACAGAAATTAGATTAGGCCAGCTGTCAAGAGCCGCCAGACTCAGGTTCCGGACTTCTGGCTGTGCCTCGGTTTCTCTATCAGCATAAAGGACAGCTATCAGCACAACTTCTGAGAAGTTGTGAACACAAATGGGATGGCCAAGGTGCCCCCAGGGTCATCTGAGAATATTCTTGGAAGTGGACAGGACCTTAGAGCGGACCTGCTTCTGTATAGGGCTCAGAGACAGAGAACCTGCCAGGAATACATACAGCCTTGAGTTTCAGAAGGAACAAAAATGAAAAGGCAAGTCTCCCTGGTGACAGGATGCCTGGAGTGGGGTCTGCTTAAACAGACATGCATGGAGAGCCTGGGGCTCATGTCTAGGTCTGAGCGCCCTACCGTTCCTTAAAAGGAACAGGCAGCCAGCATCTAAGGGCCAAGACTAACTTCCCTGTCAGAGTGAGGCATGGTAGACAGCCTTAGTGGAAGGCAGGCTTGGCCTCAAACTTGCATACTAGATTGGTAGAGCCAGGGACAGGTGTTTGAGGACCCCAAACTTTCCAGGCTACGTGTTGCTGACCGGAAAGGACCACAGTAAGGACGGCCCTGAGGCCATCCTCCTTCCTAACCTCCCTGCTGTTTTCACGCGGTGTCTTTTCCTGTCCCATCTCTTCTCCTTGTTTTTCCAGAAAAGAAAGTCCAGTTCCAGCGTTCAGTTAATGGTGAGTGTCCGCCGTCTCCCAAACTCCGGTAAATGCTGGGCCTCAGACCCTCGCTCCCTCGCTCCTGCAGGCTGCACAGGAACCCGGGGCGGGGAGAGAGTGCTCAGGGCATGCGTGGTATGTGTGCATTGTGTGTGTCATGTGTGTGTGTGTGTGTTGTTTGCGTGTTTCTGTTGACACCTCCAACTCCACGGCCCAGACCAGCAGGCCAACAGCAGATCCAAGGCCTTCCTCCAGTCCAAAGGTGGATTTGAACCAAGTCCAGCCCTTGGCTTCTTGCTTCTCCCACCCCCTCTGCTCAAGAGCTCATCTCAGGGCTCGGTTTGTGCCTTTTGCTGCTAGGGTGGGGCTCGGTGTGGCCAAAGCAGCAGACATCATGGAGGCTCCTTGAGCTTGTGCAGGCCACACAGCAGAGGAACCACAGCCCTGACTCTGTCAAGAGTACCAGGGTTGACACGGTGGCCCGTGCCCTCTCCTTCTGGTTCCATGGCTGTCTTGGTTGCGCGGTTTTTCTCCCCTCTGAAAAGCCCACCCTCTCTCACACGGGGCCTGCCTCTCTCTTTCTTCTTCTCCTGCCAGTGTGTGTATTCCTCCCCCATTCTGTGGCTCCCATGGTGTCTTTCTGCACCCCTTCTTTGTCCCCTGAGCAGAAAGGGCCCAGGAAGCCCCTCTCAGCCCTCTTGAGAGGCCAGGGATCTCCTTGCAGGTACTGCTTCATAGGGGCCCTGCCGCCTCAGCCACAAGCTTAGCTGGGTCCCCTCAGGCTGGAGGGTCTGGCAGGATTTGTATAAAGCATCTGGACGGCAGAGCCTGGGGAGCCACAGAGCCCAGCGAGTCACCGGGCAGCCAGGTCGCCAACCCGACCCAGCCCCTCCCTCTGCCAGGCTTTCCTCACCACCTTCTTCTTCTCTTTGGCAGGAATCTTCTGAGAGTGCCAACACCACCATTGAGGACGAGGACACCAAAGGTAGGGTGGCCTGCCAAGCAGACCCCTCACTGTTGCTCCCAGCCTGGACTTGGCTTCTGATAAACAGGATGTATCTGTGGACATGGCTTCCCCAGACAATGGCCAGCATTGGGGGTACTTGCATTAGGTTCTGGGTTTGTTTCACCACCTATCAAAGGGGGGAAAATTAACATTTAAACCAGAAACACATAGGAGCAGCATTCATTTTCCTTTTGAAATAAGTCATTTTTAGTTTTTTTTTTTTTTAAACTGACTTCATTTTTAAAACATGAAGCAATAAGAATAAAGGAATAGAAAACAAAAATCCAGAAAGTTCAGTCAGCTGGAACACATGAATTCAAAACCAAAGACCAGTAAAACAAAAGATGCAGGGTTTTGTAGCTCACGGCCTATTGTTCTGAGAAGCGCCCAGATCAGCCAGCTGGGGTGGCACATCTGTAGTTACAGTGCATGAGGGGACAGCAGAAGAATGAGCAGAGGCCGGCATGCTGGAGCCTGGGCTCGTAACACCCCCATCAGATGGATAAGGGAGCAAGAAGCTCCATGTGAGCAGGAGTCCTGAGAAAGGAAATAGCAAACAAGCCGTCTTTGGTTCATGGACGTTTGCTAAATAAACCAAGGGTTCCATGTGGACCAATGTGTGCATGTGTCCAGCCTGCAGACCACTCTCGGCCAAGGATAGCCACGCACATGTCCCCACACAAAGTCACAAGCCTACTTAAAACACGACTTCTTTAAAAGATTCCTTTATTTTATTGTTACGTATATGAAGACTTTGGCTACATGTGTAAGTGCACTGAGAGCTTGTGTGGTGCCCTCGGAGGCCAGAAGAGGGCACTGGACTCTGAAAATGGAGTTATGGATGGTTGTGAGCAGTCAGGTGGGTTCTGGGAACTGAACCCAGGTCTTCAGCCAGTTCTCTTAACTGCTGAGCCATCCCTCCAGCCCCAAAATGTGACTCCTTTTGTTTTGCAATTATTTTTAAAAATTTATGACTGTATTGCATAGTTCTTGTTCGTGAACATTGCAGATGATAACATTATTTCATAGCGTGAGAAGAGCAGACCTAGGGTAGTGGTTCTCAACCTTCCTAATGCTGCGGCCCTTTAATATAGCTCCTCATGCTGTGGTGACCCCCAACCATAAAATTACTGCCACTGCTACTTCATAACTGTAGTTTTGCTACTGTTGCGAATCATAAGGTAAATATCTGATGTACAGGATATTTAATAATGTGACATTTAATAATGTCACAGGTTGAGAACCACTGACCCAAGGCTTCCCACAACCTCACAACTTACCCTTCCATGAACCCTCTTCTCCAGCCAAGAATACAGGATGGGGAATTTGGGGAAACTGGCTTAAGGTGGGGCTGGGATCTGACCCCAGGCAGTCTGCATCTGGATCCTGGCGAGCAGACAGTGTACTGGAGGCCTCAGGAAGTTATTCTGGGAAGGAGCAGTGTGCCGAGATTCTGCCCAGGAGACACAGACCCTTGAAGGTTAGCAATGTCCCATGGTCCCTCCTGCACCAGTACTTTCGCATTTCCCAACTCAGCAGTCTGCACCCTGTGGAAGGAGCCAGAGATGCTCTGCGGGGAAGGGTTGTTGAAATATGGAAAAGGGTTGCTGGTCTGGAGGAATTTCAACTGTACTAGTTGAGGCAATTTTTCTTTTTTTAGGGTTTTAGATATTTTCTGTTAAAAAAAAAAAAAAGTATACAGTGGCTTGGCAACAGAGCACTTGCCTACCATGCAGGAGCCCTGGTCTGAACCCTAACAAGTTGGGGGGGGTGAGGGAAGAGATCGTGTTTATATGGCAAGCATTTTATAATGTCATAATGGGATGCGGGATGCAATGAGGGCTTGCAGGCAGTTTCCACACAGTCTGATCACCATCTGATCTTGCAGAGAGCTGGGAGAAAGTCTGTCTGTCAAAGTCCCTTTCTGGTCATTCCCAAATTGTTGGGGGAAGCCAGTAAATTGGTGCTCTGCCGTGGTTCATGAACAACCTTGCAAACACATTCTTTTAGAGAAGTTACTGCTAGCATTCACTCATCATTCAGCTGCGGAGCCTGTCCTTCGGACATGCCCAGCCCTACCCTCAGGTCATAGGTCGCTGGCAGGCTAAGATGTTCACCATATGGGAGACTCTCAGCCCCAATGTGAAGAGATGGACTCTGGGATTCTATTCCTGGCCTTAGGTCAGATAGAAACCATGGAGGTGATTTGGCTCTACTCCATTGGTTGGGTGACCTTTGGCAACTTACTCAACCTCTCTGAGTCTCAGTTTCCTTAATGATAAACAGTCCTGACTTCTGATAGTTCTGTGCAGATGAAATAACAGCTACACGTACAGTACATGCACAGCATTTGGCATGTGGTGATTGTTAAAGAAATCTTCATTTCTTTTCTTTTTTTCCAAACTGGAGATTGTGGCTGAGTGACAGGAAGCCCCGTGACATTTTCCTGGAGTGTCAATTTGATTCAAAGACTATTTTAAGACAAATATTTATATGTTAAACAGACAGACTATTTGGAACAGAATACAAAATGTGTATGCACTGCTAATGCAAAATAGAAGCTGTCAGTGATCTGTTCCACCTGGATGATGACTCTGGGCTATACTGTGAGGCCTCAAATTTGCCAACAACCTCCTCCACTCTAAGGGATTCAGCGAACAGTTTGTGTCAGATTTTAATTTACTTCCTCCCTTTATATAGAAGGAAGAAAGGCCCACGTGGGTTATGGTATTAGTTATTTTTTCCTGTTACTGTGGCAAAATAGTCTGTCAAAAGCAATGTAGGGAAGGTTTGTTCTGGCTCATAATTGGAGAGCACTGTCCATTGTGGTAGGGCTGTGGGAACGGAAGGCAACAGGGACATTGAATTTGCAGCCAGGAACCAATAGTTGGGAAACTGAGGCAGCTACCCATGCTCAGCTTGGTTTTTCCTTTCCAGTCAGGTCATAGGATAATGCTGCCCACATTCAGAGTGTACCTTCCCTCTTCATGTGAACCTTTGTGGAAATACCTTCTGGGACACACTCAGGGTGATTCTGTGGCAATCCTAAATCCTGTCCATTTGAGGATCAAGATTAACCATCATGGTTACTAGCTGAAGATCTGGGAACTTGTTCCCTGCCCCAGCTTCCCCTCCTCATGCACAAAAGGTCCAGTGGCCTGGTGTTCAATGACAGCAGAGAAAAGCCCTTACACACAGCCCCTACCCCCACCCTCAGCTCAGAGGAAGTTCCTAGAGTACATGCTCTTTTCTTACCAAGTGAGAAGAGTAGTCAGCTTGGTGGACTCTGACCCAGTGTTACAGTTAATTGGAAATGTGATTTGTCAGAACAACATCCCTGGAGGGAAGTGAGGGACATGAGTTGTTCAGAGCACCTCTGGTTTTGTGCAGGGCCCTGCACTCTGAGCTGTACCAGGCTCTGTCAGGCTTCCTCCCCATCCCCTTGCCTCTGAGTGTAACCTGTTCTCTCTCCAACCTGAAGAGCTTCCCCCAGAAGCTGGGTAGACACTAGGAAGTAGTCATGAGTGCAGGCCCCAGCTGGGCCTCAGAGTGTTGTGTGACCTTAAGAGAGTTCTTTTGAGTTCTTTTGTTTGTTTTGTTTGGTTTGGGTTTGGGTTTGGGTTTTTTGAGATAGGGTTTCTCTGTGTAGCCTTGGAACCTGTCCTGGAACTAGCTCTGTAGACCAGGCTGGCCTCAAACTCACAGAGATCCACCTGCCTCTGCCTCCTGAGTGCTGTGATTAAAGGCATGTGCCACCACCACATGGTCAAGAGATTTTCTTAACCTCTATGGGGCTTCAGTTTTCTTGTCTGTAGAGGAATGTTCCAGATCATCTGGATGAGGAGACTAGCCAGCAGTATGAAGGAAACAGCTGGAAAGCTGCTTGCAAAGCAATAGGAGTTGTTGGAGTCCCAGGAAAGGCCCTTATCAGAGTGGCCTTCAGGCACACAAGCACCAGGCTCTAGCCAGGTCTTCTGTCCCAGAGGACAATGCTAGGGAGATTCTTGCTTTAATAGCTTTGACTTTTGGAAAACTCAGTGTCCTGGCATCTGAAGGTATGGCCCACCTAGCAGAGGATTCATGGAAGCACAATGTTCATTGTGACTCCAGACCTAACACTGTACCATCTGAGACCTTGGTCACACCCAGAGACGTGTTTAGAAATTGTCAGGAGCTTTGAGGACAGTTGCAAACTTGCAGTGAACCTGGAAATGACATCCTGAGAAGAGGCCTGGTCAGTGGAGGAAGGAGACTTGGGAACAGGTGCTCACTGGGGAACCCCAGGAAGCAGAAAGAGGAGCTCCTTCGTGTAGGAGTTATCAGAGGTAGACTTCAGTCTGGAAGACCCCCAGGCCCACATATGGCCAGGTTTATCTAACAGAGTGGTGGCCTTTGCAGCCCATCACTCCAGCAGGACCTGTGTCCTATGACTCAGACCTCCAGGAAGCATGCAGCCCATCTAGAGCCTTGAGACAGGGCTTGGACAAGCTTCTGCTTCCTAGTTTGCAGATGACAGGTGTGACAGCTGTCAGTGAGTGCCAGGCCTAGCTCTGACTACTTGAGTTCAGACACGATCACTCAAATGATGCGTTGACATTGAGTGCTCAGAACACAGGTGCTCCCAGGTAGGGCTGCATGTGAAGGCTCTTTCTACCGATTCCCAGAATAACCCAAAAATGTAGGTGCTACTGCTACCTCCATTGTCCATATGGGGAAACTGAGATCCAAGGCAGTTCCTTGCAGCTATGAGGTGACAGAGCAAGAATCCAAGCCTAGAGAGTTTGACTCCAAAGCCCAGGGTCTGGACCACTTTGTCACATTCCTTGTGGTGGCAGCAAGAAGGAGGAAAGATGCGAAGGGGACAGTCCAGGAAAGATGTGCTGGAGGGTCCCAGGGCACAGGCAAGGGCTGCGTTGTCCCCTCTGATCCCATTGAGGATCAGACTAGCACCATGGCTAATCTGCAGTTCCTGCTGGCCAAGTCCACTTGTCCCATGGCCCAACTCTGCTTTTGCAAAGAATGGTATAGCTGACCAGGAGCCCAGGTTCTGAAACCCCTAAGAACAGGTGTAGAGGTAACTTGTGCAATTCCAGAAACAAGGCAAAGATGACAGCCCAGACTCTGGTTTGGAGCCATCTGCTCATCCATCCATCCATCCATCCATCCATCCATCCATCCATCCACTCACTCTACATATGTGTATTGGGTACAACTTCTGCCCCGTGGGCTCCTGACAAAAAAGGAGAACAACCCTAATGATGAATGACACCCATGATCTGATAGACATTCCCAGCATGGGAGATTCCAGCCAGAGTCAGAGCAGGCTGCTGGGAGCCCCGTGGTGGCTACATTGCTGGAACATTGCTCCTTCTGCCAAGCACACACTCCATGACAAGGTCTATGCCAGGTATAGATGTGGGAAGAGCTCAGTTGTGCTGTGAAACTCTGAAACTGCACGGGCTAAGTCCCTGGCCACGGATGTGCACACTCACTTGTTCAGTCTGTACTGTAGCCTGAAGGGGTCATGCCATCTCCAGATTTCAAGGAAGCCCTAGCCCCACCTCCACTGGCTGGCACCGAGTTTAGAGATAGGCAGTGAGTGCCAAGCAGCTGTGTGGGGTTAGTGTTATGAGAACATGGGGTGCGAACATGTGGGCTGAATCACCAGGGTCCCGTAGAAAAGGCTCTGGGCTGTGAGCCAGACTACGCCATATGTTCCGCGCCCTTAGGCAAGTTGTGACCCTCACTGGGCTTCCATTTCCTCAGTAGCCCAGAAAGGACTTTAGGTTTCTGGCCTGCAGAAGTTCTTCCAGGCTGGATGCTCTCAGAGTCCATCTCCCTGGGGTCTGAGATGGGAGCCTGAGGCAGCGTAGGCAGCTGGCAAGAAAACAGGCAACTTGGAGATTCTTCCAGGCTGGGTTCTGAGGCTGGGAGATGCCAAGACCTGCTGGACCCACCTTCCTGGGCAGTGTGACCTCTGTCTCACAGCAGAGTGGCCAGGTTTCGGGGAGGACGGGAGGAGGGAAAGAAGGCCTGCCCTGGACTAACTAAGGCAGCTTCTACCTGTTCAGCTCTGCAGATTCCTTCATCATTGAGGGTCAGTTATCTCCTCCTGTGCTGCCTGCCTGTTAGGGGTCTGGGAGGGGCAGGCAAGGCAAGCTCAAGTGAGGGCTGCAGGCAATGGCTGTGCTAGCCGTGAGCACCTGCTGTGGGATGGGCTTGGGGACACTGCTTCACGCTCACCTCCTCATCCCACCCTCAGACCAGCTCTGAGAAGAGCACACTTTTGTCTCCATCTGACAAGCTAGTCAGTCTTGTGGCCCTCAGCCACCACAGCCCATAAGGGCCCGAGTTGGGGTTTGGATGAAGTTCTGTCTGGAGTTGAAACCTGAGTTCTTGGTGCTACCACCTAGCTCTGAGTGAATCTCATTCCACAGGTAGGAATGCTGAGGGTCAAGCCATCACACATTTAATAAGGGGACTGGCATTTAACTCTCTATCAGAAAATCAGCTTTTGTTTTTCCACGGCAAATGGGGGAAAGCAGTTGACCCTGGAAGGTTGTAGACAACTCTGCCTGAATCTTGCAGTCACTTAGAGTGAGCGAAAACTACCCAGACAATAAGGGATGAGTAACTTCAAAGACGGTCCTTTGTGGCCCCACGTTTGCCTGAGGGGGAGCCCTGGTTTGTGGAAGCCAGTGGTCAGGCAACAGCATTATTTTGATTCACACAGCAATTCAGGATGGCTATTTTGGAGTCAAAACTTGACTTCAAACAAGACCTAGAATCTGAATGCCACCATGGTGTTTGGGGGTCAAGGCTGCCAGCTGAGGCAATGCCTCTACCTTCTGGAGCTCCTGGAAATACATTTCCCCCACTTTGAGCCTCAGCCTCTTGGTGAAATGGGGCTAATGATCTCTCTCCCCCAGGGACAACATAAAGGAAGTGTGAAATCATCTTTGCACAGTGTCAGGTCATCCCAGAGCCTGCCTGGCACGTTCTGGGGATTCAGAAACTGGCACTTGGTCCTTCATGACTACCACTGCTGTTATTATCTGTGTTCCCTCCTACTTTACAGTGCGCAAACAGGAAATTATTAAAGTGACAGAGCAGCTGATTGAAGCCATAAGCAATGGAGATTTTGAATCCTACACGTGAGTCAGCCAGGCTCATTCTGCATGTTCTGCCTGGATTGGGTTCAGGGGTGCTAACCGTTCAGGGGTGCTAACCGTGGGTAACGGAGCTTACTCATTCTCTGCATGTGCTGCAAATGAGATGGAGCCTATCCGTTCTGTTCTAAGCTCAGCCCTGTGCTCATACACTTACCCATTCCTCTCCCTGCCAGCCTTATCCCAAGAGGAACTCCAATAAAGCTGCTTTGTCCCCTCCCCAAAAGAAGGGTGGTCTGGGAATGGAGACAGGAGCTTCTCCATCCTGCCCAGTGGGTCTGAGTCTTTTCGCTGGATCGTCACAGGTCTTTGACCTCAGCTGAGCATGAACAGGCAGGGACCCAGAGGGTTTACACCATCAGTGAGTAAGAGTTAGCAAATTGATCCTTAAACTTTCTGGGGAATAAGGCACAAAGTCTTAAACAGAATATCCTCTGCTCACATGCCTGCTCCAGTCCGAGGAAGGGGCCACAGTGTGCATAAACCGAGCTTCAGCGCCCTCTAGTGGTCATCACACTTTTGCTGGTCTCTGACTGAGAATGGATGTTTCAGGTGTAGATTTTGACCAGGGCTGATGGGACTGTCTGGACCTGGCAATCCCACACCTACTTTTTGGTGGGCAAAAGCTTCCAACCAAGACAGAGTTACCCTTGCCAGTTTCTACACACATATGATACACTTAGAGCAGATAGCCTTCCTGTCCTTCACGGATGCAGAGAGCCCAGACAACCCTCCATGAAGTCCTGAAGGAGGGGTGGGTTGGAGGTAGCCTCAAAGGCTTTGTCCATCTCAGTCAAGGCCGGGCCAGCTGTCCTCTTCTGAGATTCCCAGTCCTAGTGTGAATGGGAAGCTTAGCCTGTGCAGGGGCATTTCCTGTCCCTGGCTTCTTTGCTATGGCCACAGGGGTTTATAGTGTATCTCAAACGGTCCTCCAGGTATGTAAATGGCTCCTCATTTCTGCCCTTCCCTGCCTAGCAGTCATTCCAGAAGATTGATGCCTGGAAGGGGGCAGTCATCTGAAAACACCCAACCTCCCTTATGATGAGGGTCTCCCCAGCCATATCCTCAGCTTCATCTTTGATATCGCCTTCTTAAAGTGTATTATTTTGTGTGTCTATGTACCACATATGTGCCTGGTATCTGTAGAGGCCAGAAGAGGGCCTGCGGTTGCAGATGGTTGTGAGCCACCATCGAACCGAGGCTCTCAGGAAGAACTACCAGTGCTCTTAATTGCTGAGCCATCTCTCCAGCCCCCACGGACATCAGCTGCTTCTTCTCCTCCTCCTTATTTTGTTTTTGTTTTTCGAGACAGGGTTTCTCTATGGTTTTTGGAGGCTGTCCTGGAACTAGCTCTGTAGACCAGGCTGCATTCGAACTCACAGAAATCAGCCTGCCTCTGCCTCCCCAGTGCTGGGATTAAAGGCGTGCACCACTGACGCCAGGCAACATCAGCTTCTTTAAGGCTCTTTCTCTTATTTACAGCAGAGGCAACCATCAGGGTGCTCTAGTTATAGGGTGACTTTGTTCAAATTAGTACAATGCACCCCCCATGCACACACCTGACTTGGGGTGCTGAGGTCCCGTGGTGGAAAGGAAAAGGCATCTCACTCCTACACCCCAAGAGACAAGCTAGGAAAAGCCCCTTGGGTCACTGCCTGGGGGGAGGGTACAGTGTGGAGAAGAAGGAACAGGCTTACAGCATGACCGCTTCACCCACTCCTGGTACTCTCCGCTCCCAGAGGGACATACATGCTGGGGATCTTATCATCAGTAAGTGGCAGAACCAGGGCCTGAACTTGGATGTGGCTGGCACCCCCAATCCTGTCCCACACTTCACAGTGTGCAAACTCCTCCTTTGTTGGTCCCTCCAGGAAGGTGTGGGCATTCTTGTTCACCGGCCCACCCTCCAAGGGGGCAAGGAGAAGTCTTCTCAGGTTCCTTTTTCCTCTGGCTTCCTTCCCCTAGGAAGATGTGTGACCCTGGAATGACAGCTTTTGAACCCGAGGCCCTGGGGAACCTGGTCGAGGGCCTGGACTTTCATCGATTCTATTTTGAAAACCGTGAGCAATCCCTTCTCTCTGGGGTGCCTGTTGTCTGACCTCCTTCCGTGTCCTGCTGGATGGCACAGCAGGGTGACGGGCAGGGCCTCAGGGGCGGCTCAGGAGCCAGTGAAGAGGAAGATCCCATGTGGACAGGGGTTGGTACCTTCTTGATTCCCTCTCCATTGATTGCCAGCTGGACTGCCAGCTGTCCTTCCTGTGGCTGAGGCTGGGGTGAGGCTGGGGTGGGTCCCCAAGGCCAAGGACACATATAAACCTCCCTATCCCCCTCTGCCTTCTAGCCTGGGAGAGTTATGTGGAGGTCTTTGTTCCCCTTGCTAGACAGGGAGCCATCACTAACTCATGCCACAAGCTACAGTCATCTGGACACTTGGGGCCATCCCAGATGTCCAGTTGGTGACATGATGGCTCCTGGGTTAGGATACATATGATCTTGTAGATAGGGAGGTCTAGGGATTTCACACTGCTGTGCCCTGCCTGTGTGTCCAGGTCTCTGTCCTGCATGTCTGTCCTTCCTGGGCCTCTCCTCTGCAGGAGAGGTCTCAAAAGCTTGCAAAGAGGGTGGGCAGGGTGCTGAGCCTGGGCCTGAGCCAGTGAGCTTCCCGCTTGTCTGTGTCTTACCCAGGCCAGGGGTTAGACAGGGACCAAGCCAAGGTCAGGGTATGGAGGATGGACCTCAGGAGTGGTATAGTGAGCCTACCCCAAAATGACAGGTACAAACCACACACTTGCTTTCTGGTGTTTCTAGGCACCACATACAGCATTGAATCAAACAGCAAGAAAGCCCTTCCCAGTTGATACTCATGGAGTTCATAGGCAGAGAAAGACTCAGTTCACCTCTGACAGTTCCCAGTTTCCCTCTTTTTTCAAAGGGCACCAAGGGCTCAGATGCCTTGTAGGCAGGAATGTGGGGCAAGAATGACCTAACTCTTCTCCTCACTGGATTTTCTGTTTCTTGTTTACTTTGTGTGACCAATTGTCCACTGATGATAGTGCTGGGAAGTTTTATTTAAAATAATCACACCAGGGCTGGAGAGATGGCTCAGAGATTAGGAGTGTGTACTGCTCTTTCAGAGGACCTGGGGTCAGTTCCCAGCACCCGGGTCATATCATAACTGCCTGTAATTCCAGCTCCAGAAGATCTAATGCCCTCTTCTGGTTCCCATGGGTCATTGCGCTCCAGTGTACATAACCACCCCCCCAACAAGCACAGAGACACATAAAAATAAAACCTTAAAAATAAATGAAATAAACACATTATGAAGCTAACCAGGAATATGTCGTCACGAAATAAGCACAGATGGTGCTCACATACGGTTTAACAAACAAAGCGCAGGTGGCACCACGACAACTCAAGGTGAAACGCATTCTGTCACTTAGGAAGACATTTCCACTGTGGCCATCTCCAAAGCAAGCTGCAGACTTAGCTCTGTCTCAATCCATTGCCCTTCTTTTGCTGACAGGGTCCATTCTGTCAGCATAGCAATAGGCCGCACCCCTCTGGCTGTGTTTTATAGAGTACTGAGATTCCAAGCATTCTCTCAAAAAAAAAAAAAAAAAAAAAAAAAAAAAAAAAAGGAAGAAGCTACATTGTCTTAAAGAATCAGACGGGATTCTCCATGCTGAGCGACGGAGACTGAATTCCAGTAAGAGGAAGCTGGACCTTAGGTTCTCACTCTCTCATCCTGTGCACAGTTCCCTATATCTGAGGATCACCATGACTGTCATTATACCCGGTCAGCACCTTTTGCAAACTGCAGTCCTCTAGTCTCCACAGAGCTGGGCAGAGACCACCACCAAGGGGTTCAAATGCGAAAAGCAGTCCATGTTTCTGGTCTGCTCATGCAGCAGGCGCTGACTCAGCACTGGCTCCTAGACCCTATGCTTAACCCTCTAAGGAGGACTCGCAAGGGTGTGACCCAGTACAGCCTCTCACCCGGCACAGCTTCCTCCCTCCCACTGCCTGCCCTCCCCTGCCCAGCACCTGGTCCTGTCTCCCACCTTGTCCACAAGAATGGTGTCTGGGAAGCCGCTAATCTGGTCAAGTAATACCGTATCACGTTAAAGTCCCTGGGATCCTAGCCACGGTCAACAGGGCGAAGCTTGACCCCCGCCACTAAGCTCCCCCGCCACTAAGCTGCTTGTCCCTTCTGGAATGGACCTGGGTTGTCCTAATCCGGCCACTGTGAGCTTGTCTTCTGCATTCCCCCCGCCCCAAAGAAATGACGGGGCTTGAACCAAGTCATAAAGTGGTTTTGGATTAATTTTCCAGACATAGTAATGGATGTACTGCCTCTAGCCTCATGCATTATATTCAGGGACATTTAGGGAGGTTTCATGCACTTTGGAAAAGAGAAACTTGGTGATCTTTAGTCTCTAAGGCAATAGTTCTCAACCTTCCTAATGCTGCGACCCTTTAATACAGTTCCTCATGTTGTGGTGATCCCTAACCATAAAACTATTCTCATTGCTACTTCATAACTTCTAATTTTGCTACTGTTATGAACCATAAATGCAAATACCTGTGTTTTCTGGGGGCCTTAGGTGACCCCTGTGAAAGGGTCATTTGATGCAAAGGGGTCACAACCTACAGGTTGAGAACCACTGCTCTAAGTTTATTCTAAAAGTTTACATTTTCTGGGCCAGAGAGCTCAAAATCCCGAGTGTGTTATTCTGCTTGTCTGAGACTTGCTTATTGAGGACCCAAGCACACAGTGACTACAATGCTAAAGGGTGGGTGTCATTACGTCCTTTTTTTCAGTCTAGGGGGAAAAAGACAGCTTACATTTTTCAGGGGATATGTAGTTAACAAATTTTGTTGGGTAGCAGAATCGGAGTATGAGGCTGGGGGAGAAATGCTGGTGTTACAGGGTCTCAAACTGTGGCAGCAAGGGTAGCGTTGGGCAGTCCACATTTGAAGCTAGCTGTTTACATGGTTGGAACCAATATTTGGGCTACACTAGGGGAGGACACAAGGCTTCTTGTCAGAGTGAGAACCGATGGCCTCTGTCTGCCCCTGGGTCACTGTCTTTCTGTGCTTTTGTTTTGTATCTTGATGAACAACTCGAGAGTTTCTAGAATACTATGGTGATGTTGAAAATGGAGGTGGGAATCATTTTAAAGCACCCTGGTTAGTTGCCATGACAACAAGATCTTCCTGTGTCCCCCTAACCCTAGAAAGAGCTGTGACCTCACTCCATGGAAACCCATACAACCCCCCTAAATCGAAGGCTCAAAGAGTCTACAATTCCATTTCCCCTGTTTCTATAATTCAACAGATGGCAATAGAGTTGCTAAACAGGGTGGGGCACATCTAGACTACAGACATTTCGTGTGGTTTACAAGCTGTGTTACATTTGAGTAACATAACAGTGGTTAAAAGTGAAGGTTTTTCATATGAAAATCCAGAGAGATCTCCAGACTCTCTTGAGCAATAAAATGTGAAACACATGGTACCCAGAGGAGCTGTGGGCATGGTGCCCTTGAGATAAGACCAGGTGTTCTATTCATCACAGACCCCATCACTCCCTACTGTCTCCCTGACCCAGAGGTAGAGGCTTGGCTGCCATCTAGCATCACCCAGCTTAACTTCTATCATTTAAGTTCTGGCCTAGTCTCAGTACCAATCTGTATTCAATGAAAAAAAAAATCAACCTTATCTGGCTGAGTAGATTGTCTGGGCTTCATGCTTTTGTGTGTACAAGACATTAATTCTAAAATTCCACTCTCCCCATATCTGAGCAATTTGGCACCGCTAAAGCCCATTGTACCTTACCTGGGATGTGGCATCCTGTTACCTAGGTTACCTAGCAGTTCTGCCCTGACTCTCAGGTAGTTGATCCCTGTCCCAGAGACTCCCCTACTGCATACCAGTCAGGCAGAGGTGTCCCTTGAAAGGGAAGCTGGAAGCTGTGAGCAATGGAATGAGGCAGGAAGTCCCCTGGGTTGCATTGCCTCAGCCCCTCCCATCGTCCCTGCCTCCAGTGTGGTCCCGGAACAGCAAGCCTGTGCACACCACCATCCTGAACCCCCACATCCACCTGATGGGTGACGAGTCAGCGTGCATCGCCTACATCCGCATCACGCAGTACCTGGATGCAGGTGGCATCCCCCGCACGGCCCAGTCAGAGGAGACCCGTGTCTGGCACCGCAGGGATGGCAAATGGCAGATTGTCCACTTCCACAGATCTGGGGCACCCTCCGTCCTGCCCCAGTAAGAGTCATTTCTTCTTGCACCTCTAGGGGGAATTAAGGGTGTTGACCTGGTGTGGGGTAGGGGTGGGGGCAGAGGGGCATGCCTAGGGGAGCAGGCCGTTGCCTTCTGCCTCTGAATCGCTTGCAAAAGAGAAGTTGATAAGACTCCAGCAGGGAGTTCCTGCAGATCCTGGGGAAAAACTGGGTGGAAACCCTGGGAGGCAGTATTGACCGTGTCTAAGGTGGTGGACTTACTGTGTCTTACAGTTGAAGGACCAGGCCAGGATCCCTGCGTTGTTGCATCGCAGAGATCCACTCTTTGTCCATGGAATGTGGCTGCTGGTTCTCTCTTGGATTTTGTTGGAATTCTCCCTGTCGTATCACACTACCATTGTCATCTCCTGCATCACGAAAATCCGCTCCTTCACAAAAGCCATCACAACATCAAAGCAAATGGCCAGCTCTTTCCAGCTCCATCTTTCACTCTTACTCTCTTCCTGCCAGTGGGGACCTGCTTCAGGCTTGGGTACCCAGGACGCTGGCTCCAGGAACCCCACCCCACAGCCACTGTTGTTGGCCTGGCCTAGCTTTGGCTGTAGGTGAGGAGGCCCCAGCTGTGTGTTTACCAGGAAGTGAGGATGAGGAGGGCAAGTGTGATACAGCCCCTCTCTTCGATCCCTCCCCTTCTGGGGTCCCCAGGGAAGCACAGATGAGCTCCTCAGTCTCCAAGCCAACTCCTATGGCAGAGAGTAAGAGAGGAGTTGATGCCAGGAGCCCCTGCCTTGACCTACTGCTCTCATCTGTCCCCATCCTGTGCTGGCCCTGTGATGACCAGACTGTCCACTACGGGGGAGGGGGTGGGCTCTCCTCCCAGGTACCCCACTGACTGTGCCAGTCCTTCTGTGAAGTCTGCCTCCATGCAGTGTTACCCTGCCCACTCCACCCTCCAACGTCCTTGGAGAATTCCAGCTTCTTCTGTCTGAGAGATCTGATGGTGTTTCAGGGGCAAAGCAAGCAACATTTAGGTATCACTTCTACTTGGACGCATGCCTTTCTACAGCCAAACTTCTGTGTATTTCATAAATGGATTTTGCGTTAACGGGTATTTATGTATAACTAGACCTCAAGAAGAGTTGGATCAGGTTGGGAAGTGGGTGGGGAGAGGGGGGAGGGGAAATTTTAACTCTGTTCCAGATTTTTTTTGGGGGGGTTCCTTTCTGAGGTGGCCTCATCCCCCCCAGGGAGCACAGCTTCCTTCCATTCTCGTCCCCATGGTCAGCTGACAGGATTTCTTCCAGGGATAGCATGACTAACTTATAGTGAGTGAGCCGGGGCTGGGGAGGCCACCAGGATGGGAAGACTCAGACTTGGCAACCCGAAGCTGGAGTCCTCACTACTGTACTTCCCAGGAATTCTTTCCCCATTTCTTAGTGCCATTCCCCCACCCCACCCCACCCCCCGCTACCTCCTGACACATCCTTATTGCTTCTCTTCACTTGAACAAAACAGACCATCAGAAACTTATTTTCCTACTTGACGCTGAACCGGGCTGGCGTGTGCATTGCTCTAGTGCGCTTGCCTGCCTGCCTTCCTGCCCTCCCGCCCTCCCCCTCCCTCTCCCATTCTCTCTTTCTTCCTCTCCCTCCCTCTTCTTGGCTCTGATATGGAATGCTGTGTCTCATCCACGGGGATCTCCTGTCTGCACCGTTTTCTTTGCATGACTTTATATGCAGTAAGTATGTTGAAAAAAAAAAAAAAAAAAAAACAAAAAAGAAAAATACTCAGCAAAATCAAAAGACATGTTTTGGACAAAATAATAATAATATCATTCGAGGTTGTATCCTCAGTGTCCAACTTGGAATTACTTTGCTGCCTCTGTGCTTTTGGTCTTTGTGTGGCCGTATTTCGCCAGCATGAGACACTGTCCCCTCTGGAGGATTCTAGGGGAGGAAGAGCCATGTGTCCAGGGGTTTGGAGACAGCATTGATTCTCTCAGCTTCTCTGAGGGTTGATTGGAGCAGAAATGGAAGGGATGTTTAATCCAGAACTTTCTGGTATTCCCCTTTCCCCCACATAGAGCTGTGTGCTGGCCTCTTCTCTCAAGTCCTGCTGCCCAGGGAGCAAGTACAGGACAGGAGAGTGGCCGTGTTGTCTAAGCCACCCCACTGTAGTCCTCTGCCCTTGGTAGAGGCACTGCTGCCCAGGTCCAGGGATGGGCCCTGGTCCTGCCCCAGAACCAGGCTTCTCCATAAGGCTCAGTGAACCCATTGTCCCCAAAGGTAAAGGAGGGTGTGGCTTTTCCCAAGGGATGCTGCAATTACCAAGCAACATCCAATTCCTTATTCAAGCCTCAGTTTCTCTACTATCAGTGTTCCTACCCAGAATGATGGAGGGTCAAACACGATAGCGACATGAAGCCCACCCCACTTCTGAGAGCCTGCTAGGTCTGTCACTGGCCGGCCTCCTCATGTGCCAGGCCTGGCCAGTCACTGTCCTTTTCTCTGTCTGGCCCCCATTTTCCTCTTTGGTGCCTGTCTGTTGCTTACCAGCAATGGACTGCAGCAGAAACAAGTGTTTGGGGACTTGGGTAGGCTTTGATTCCAGGCTCTGATTAGACCTGCTTTGGGTGAGTCCTTGCCCCTTGTGGGGCCTCAGTTTCCCCAACCAGGAGATGCTCTGCCTTCCGTTGGCTAACGTGCTCCCTGTCCACTATGTGGCTGTCACATGTGGGAAAGTGGAGGCACACCCCTACCCCAGTCTGAGGTGGCCCGCTCGGCAGAGGCCGCTCCTGTGGGTGGGCAGCCAACTGGTATAGACCTTGGGACACAATGACCCCAAGGAGGCAGGCAAGGGAACTGGCAGGAAAAAAAAAAAAAAAAGAAAAAAAAAAAAAAAGAAAAGAAAAACCTGCCCAGAGCCTAACCTTACCAGACAAGCTCCATGCTCCTCCCAAATACCCTCAAGACAAAAAGAAGAGAGAGAGAGAGAGAGAGAGAGAGAGAGAGAGAGAGAGAGAGAGAGAGAGAGGAAGGAAGGAAGGAAGGAAGGAAGGAAGGAAGGAAGGAAGGTAGGTAGGTCAAATCAAAACTCAGGCTCTGGTCAGGGTTATAGGAAAAGCATCTCCAGCCTTATGTGCCACAGCTTAAATCCTGCCCCATGGCTTCCCGGCCGTCAAAGGGAAACCCTTGGGGGAATGTTTGCTAGGCTCCCGTGCTGGTTTCTTTGTTACTATCTGTTTAGGGTTTTGTTTCAGTTCTCTCTTCCTCTTTCTTTTTTAATATGTGGCTGTGACTTGAATGACCACTGCTCAAACTTTCTGCTACTGGGGGTAGGGGACGGGGTTGGTGGGGTGGGGGAGGGGAGAAGAGGTGTCTGTTTTATTCTTAGTGTTTTCAGTGCAATAAATAGCTACGAATTTATGTGACTCCTTGTCTTCTTGAACTGGCCAAGGCACAGAATTCTCGGAGATGTTTTTGTTTCAAGTCTCCCCCATTGCAAAACGAAAGTCCTGGTCCGTCTTCAGATGGATTGGAATAGCTTGGTTCATATGCTTAAAGCTGAGTCAAGCTTTTTGTGATTATTTGGACCCAATGTTTGCAACCTTAGGACCAAGGATGGAGTCTGCTTCCTTTCAGGCATTTGGGATAACCTTAACAAGAATTAGCGGGCTGGTATGGATTGTCACAAGAACCTCCACAGTGAGAGTATAGACCAAGGTACAGATTAGCACGAGAGCACACAAATATTGTCTCTGGTCTGCATTCATAGCATCTGGGCATTGCAGAGGGACTTGAGAGCTTGCTTAGGCTGCTATTGCAGATTCTCACCACCAGGTGGCAGAACATGAGTGGGTTCCAGGCAAGTGTCATGGCATACTCTGGGCAATTCCAGTTGATCACAAAAGAGCTTTCGAACTCTCAAAGTGTACCAGTTCAGATTAGAACTGTGCTTTTACCTCATTAAGAGCATGCAATGCTACAGTTCACAGTGTGTTTTCACACCACTTGCCCTAGTTACCACAGCTGGGGGAGCAAGGAAGATAGCAAGACTCAGAGAGCAGCTTGGGAACCCTGAACCAAAACTCACCCAACGTTTAGGTCGTCTAAGGATCCCCGTTCCTCCGCTCTGTGCCTTTCCAACTCTGGGCATCAGCAAATAGTGAGTGATGGTCTGAGACAATCCCCACCTTTTGGCTCTCCGTCCCCCTTTAGGCTCATCTTTATTGTCTTCTCCTGTAGTTTGCACAGACTTGGTTAGGTCCCAGGCTCCCACAATGCCCTCTCCCTACCCTACCCATAGGCCTAAGCAAATGTCCCTAGATCCATGTGCTCCTAGAAGGCAGGAGGGCAGCAAGTCCCCACTCAGGGCAGTAGGCATTGCCATTCTTGCATGAACCAACCCCACCCAACAAGCATGTTGCTGGGATCGAAGACATGCAGACATGCCACAAGCATCTGTAACAGCAATGACAGTCACTTACTGGGGGCTAACCAAGGCCACACATGTCCCCCACTCTTTTTTTTTTTTTAACTTGGCTGCTTTCAGTCCTCAGCATGGCACAGCCCTGTGACAGGCCACACATGACTGAGGGGGCTGTGCAGCTAAAGGATAAGGGAAGTCGCCCAGTGAGGCTGGGGTGGGGGGAAGTGAGTTGGATCCTGAGCCACAGCAAATGCTGACTTTTCTGGGATGAGCTGGAACCAGGTTGGGGTCTCAAGAAGACTTGAGAATGAGCTAGAACTATTTCTGTCTTCAGGAATCCCTGACACTAGGTCAGACTACAAGAACCAAGGCTCAGGACAGGATGGGTGGAGGCTGGACCCGGAGCTGGAGGAAAGAGGAGAGGTGTGATTTGAAGTTTGGGGGCCGTGGAGCCCCTTCACAGGATGGATGGGAGAGAAGTCTAGACACAGGGCAGGAGCAACTGGGTGCATGTGAGTGTGGGAAGGAGACTTAGGAAGAAGTTGTGGGGACCAGAAATATGAGCGGCCCAAGAGAGTCCTGAGCCTACTGCAATGTTGTTGTGCCATTCCAGGATATAGGCAGGTCCCCAGCAGTGGAAATGACCTCTGCGGACCAGGGGTGTAAATCCTTCAGAAAGCACCCCCTAGTGGTTTCTGGGGGTGTTTATTCAGGAAGAGGTAGAACAGATACCAGCCTTTCTCCTTGTCCTTTCTACTCCCCCACCTGGACTACCAAGGTCACTTCCTTAGGGAAGTCTAACCCAGACACCCCACTTCCCAGACCTAGGTGGAGCAAGCTAGAGGGGGGCTGTCCTATCACCCAGGAGAAAAAGGATGAAGACTATGTCCTCTCTTAGTATGGCTCTTGGAGAGTCATAGCCCTCTCTGCACCTCCGTTTCCTCATTATAAGCATGACCTGGAGGAGCTGGAGAGATGGCTCAGCAGCTGGGAGCACTGAGTGCTCCTCTAGAGGACCAAGGTTCAACTGTCAGTAACTCCAGTTCCAGGAGACCCAACACCTTCACAGGCATACAGGCAGGCAAAACACCAAGGCACATACGATAAAAAATGAATAACCTTGAATCCATGCTTCTAAAATGTGGGACAGGGTTGGCTGCTGTAGATTCACTCAAAGAACCCATTCAGATATAAATATGTACCAGTCCCTCTCTCGGAGAGTAAGATCTTCGAGACTGGGTAGGGGCCCAGGCAGCAATGTTCTTACAAGCCCTTGGGTTAGGGGCTCTGCTGTGATTGCCGGTCTCAGTCTCCAATGTTGTGCTGGATGCCCTAAGATGCCGTTATGAGATGACCAGTCCAAGGCTTCCCACTTCATCTCCTCTCACAACCCCCACCCCCTTAACTCCCCATCTCAGAAGAAGGATTTTGATAACAGGGCCCTCCTGTCCCTCAAATTCCTGTACCCCAAAGCCCCGTGGGACCCTGACTGTCATCAGCAGAGTAAAGGCCAAGGCAAAGCTTGGGCTCAGGTTTTCCTTTCTTTTGAGAGAGGATCTCATGTAGCTCAGGCTAGCCTCTAACTTGTTTCATACCCGCCCTGACCTCTAACTTCCTGAGTGCTAGGCACGAACCACCATGCCTCACTTTAGGTTGTGTTCCGGTTTGAACTCAGAGCCTTAGGCATTGAGTTCTATGAGACTATGGATTACAGTCTACTCCCATCCTGGCTTGGCAGGGTTATTCTGTCCAGTTTACTAGAAGAACCAGGTTCCTAACCATCAGCCAGGCCTGGAGAAGGGATGGCATTGCCTTCTCTCCAGGCAAAGCCCATCTCTGGAGAAGGAAGTCCGTGGCAGCGGTATTCAGCAGAAGGCCTGCAGGAGTGGATGGGAGCAGCCAGTTTTCTTTTGTCCATTCCTCCCCCAGCAGGCACCTTGGGAGAGAGTCCATGATTCCTAATCAACTTACTTGATTTACAGATGGGAACACTGAAGTCTGTTGACTTAGTACTGGCAAGCCCTGGGCCTGATGGCAGCTTGTCCCAGGCTCTAGAATTGTGAATTCCTGACCCTCTCCTCCCTGGGCTAACTGGAGATAAAAGCTGAGACACTGAGACTGTGCCTTGCCTGCATAATCTTACCTAACAGGTCTCTATGCATTCAGTTTTGTATTAGGCACTTTGATGATCTTTTATTTATTTATTTTTTCCAAAGTGTGATCTAGGGACCTAACAGGTTCACATTTAATCTCTTGCAAAAGGAAAAGTAACTCCATCTTACATCGGAGAGGCTCTGGGTTTGGAAACATGAAGTAGTGGATTCTCAGGGCTGTGGGGCCAGGATTTGACTCTGACTATGTCGCTCTGCCTTGGCTCCTACTTACGGCAATCCTCTAGGGGCTGCAGCTCACACAGTCGCTGTGGACATTAATGGGAAAAACGTTTTTCTCTCCGCCCAACAAAAACAAGCCTGGATGTGGGTGCTGGGAGGCGGCCTCCCCGTGTGTGCGTGGATCAGGATTGAGGGGGTGGACAGCTGCCCAGTCCCTTGGAGGGAAGTGCAGGGTTACAGGAAGTCAGGCGGAGGTAGGGGGATGCTGGCCAAGGACATGCTGTGGGCAGACATTCCTGGACGCCTTTCCAGGGCAGGACTAATGTCACTGGGAACTCAGGCCCTGGAAGGAGTGGCCTGAAGCTAAAGAAGCCAAACTTTCCATGAGCCACCAGCAAAAAAAAAAAAAGAGTGTTAAGGACAGCCCACCGTAATCCTCAAAGCTGAACAACCGAGGACCCATGGGTATTCCCAGGGGTCTGCAGCTCTCTCCACTCTTGATATTGTCCCCAGAGCCATGATAGAACTGTGTTCAGTTTACCACTCCACTGTCATAACTGTGAAAGATCAGGACTGGGGCAAGGCCTTCAATCAACAGATATATGCCCTGGCTCTTGCTGGAGCCTCACAGCATCTCCTCCTCCCACCCTGCCCCACTGAAGCTACCCCATCATAGGGAAAGAGCTTGGAGCTCGGAGAGACACAGAGACGTCCTTTGATCACATGGCTCTGGCAGACAGAGCTGAGAACAGGCCAAGCCTGTGGCTGAGTCCTCTGCATAGCATCCTGCCACATCCTGGAGTGCTCTGGGGTCCAAAGAGTATGAGACAAGACTCTCAATGGCATAGAAATAGAATTCTTGTCTCAGAAGGACACGGGTGCCACAGATGTAAAGGCTTGGCTGTCTGGACTCACCAGATGTGGGGCTGAGTCAGACTCAGGAGTCAAATGTGGCTGGGAGCTGAGAACAGCTCGTGTAGGAGGTTGGCCAGGATTCGGATGGCACAGTATCAGGGTGCAGGCATGGTCTAAGCAGAGGATAGCCTGGGTCTGTGTGGGCACAGGCAGAGATGAATTTGCTGGGCTGGTAGAGGGCAGCAGGGGTGGGTGGGGCCTATTAAGAACCTGCTAAGGTAACCAATACCCCACAACCCTCCCACCATTCCATCCCACAATTTGGGAGAAGTGGGGGGTCTCAGCATCAAGATCTTCCAGTCTTATGCCTTGGACACCAGATGCAGCCATGACTAGGAGCCCAAGGCAAGGCCCTTAAAACCATGGCCCCACGTGAGCAGAGTGAGTCAATGCCCATATGGATGTGGCAAAAAAGCTGCAGGTCAGGGCCCTGCCAGAAAGTAGAGGCTGTACCTGGTGTGGTAAGAGGAGCCTGCCTTGGGAAACATCCTACATCACCCTTTGCCCACGTGGAGGATCAACAAAGGGTGGGTGGACCTGGCTCTTTGTAAGGGGAAATGTATTAATACTCAACAACAGCCACCTTCCTTTCTTCCCCATCAAAGCCTTACAGACACCCGGGTCTGCATTAGAAAGGCTTGGGGCTCTTTCATGTGCTGAGGCCCTGCCTCCCGGAAGGAGCTGAGAACACCAGGAGATTCTTCTGCTGAAGCCCAGGACTAGTCCACCAGCACCAGCCTCACTTGAAGGGATGCTGCCATGGCCTGCTACTCTCCCCGCTTTGGGCAGGTCTCTCCCCTCTGGGCTCCATTTCTCTTTACATATAATGGGAGACTGAGAATAGCATTTACCCAGAGGCATTACAAAGCAAACTCCAGAAGTCAGAGTTGAAAGAAGCAAGTGGCCAGCCTTGGGCCCCTCCTCTGTCCAGTGGGAGCTGGCATATGCTCTGTGATGCCCACTGTCCTCAGTAGCAAAGAGTCAGGGAAGGAGGGTGACCTCACTTGGTATTTATTGACAATCAGCCAGCAGAACACAAACGGGCTGAGGAGATGCCAGAATGAGGTGGGCACAGAGGACGTTCACTATGCTGCACCAAAGTGCCCTGCTCTGCCGGGAAATGCAATGGCAGGACACCTGGTAGCCACACCTGAATGCCATCTCTTAGGGATAGAGGCTGCCCTCATGTCAGGAGCCCTGCAGCATCAGACTCATGTCGTATATGGACCATCTCTGAGTCTTGGTTGTCGTTGTCATCAGAAGCCACAGGAACAGGGAAAAGGATTCTAACTGGAGCCTTCACTCCTACCTCCATGGCAGGTACTCCTTGGCCCTCCTGCCAGCCCAAGGCACAACATCCACATGGTGAAGGGTGGGCTCTGCCTATCTACTCCCACCCTAGTGCCTAACTCTAGCCATTAGGACCTCTCACCTGTCCTTCAGAAGCCTCCCATTCCTATACCTGTCCCTAATCCACCCTAAACAGACCTAAAAGTGATACGTGGTGCCATGCAAGCCCCCTCCCACCCTGCCTTTCTGGATCCCCCTTCCTGCTGTTCCTCGCTCCCTCTCATAAGCTGTGAGCATCACCATCCCCAGCCATTCTCTGTTTCTGCTCTGGCAGGCTCAGGTTCTGACCCCAAAGCACCCCCTTCTGTCTGTTTTGCAGTCCTTCACATTGCTCAGACCCCTAGTTCCCACCTCTTCTGGGAAACTTGGCCTTAACACAGGAGCCCACAGGGAGTTTTCTGTCCAATTCATATGCTAATAACTATGTCTGGGCCTTGGAACCCTCCAGGCTTCTCACTACCTGAAACCCCAGGTTTAAAGTTGGTTTGTATGGAAATATGTCTTGTCAAAATGTCTGAACAAAGATATTAAATATGGTGCCCACTGCCACAAGAGAAAGGGAGTTGGCTGACTGGTAGCTTGGGAACAAGTCCTCTTGGCCATGTGACCTTGGCCCAGCTCTCCCCTCCCTGGCTTCAACACATCCCTCTGTAAAGTGAGGGCTGAGCCGGATCATTTCAGCTTAGAATGGACTACATATTGTGTGTGTGTGTGTGTGTGTGTGTGTGTGTGTGTGTGTGTGTTCATCTAGATAGAGGACCCAGGAGAGGCAGAAGCCACAAAGAGGGACTTATACTGGGGACTGGCATTGCTATAGCAACTCCCAACTGCCTTTCAGAATCCCAATAGGCAGAGCTGTCCCCTGAAGGCCCCAAGGAAGGGACTGTGAGGCCCTGGCCATCCCTCCTGTTTGGTTGTCTCCAATCTCACATCATGGACTCTTCCTCTTCCTCTGCAATCTCGCGGTCCACCTCAATAGCCGTATTCTCGAAGCTGGTGATGCCTCCATATTTGCGCATGTGTACCATCAGTGGCTTTGGTGACTGGCTCCCAGCCAGTGTGGCCACATACATGCCGGTCCGGTTCTCTTCCAGTGATGGGCCCCAGTCTATAGCTGGCCGGCTGGCTTGCTGAAGCCGCTGTGGCAGAGCAATGATAATGGGTGTTGAGTGTTTTCCATGGCCAGGCACCCAACAAAACTTGCCTATGCCCAGTGGGAACCTGCTCTGCCACTTCTGGACTGGTGTCCTCGAGGAGCCATCTGTAAAACTCCACACAGGGACATTGTAAAGGGGATATAACTAGTTGATGCTGGGAATAACGTGGCTTCCAAGGCCATGAGACAAGACGCACACACACCTTGACAAGCATCTAAGCATAAACTCAGGAGTCCACTCCAGCACTCTTCTGCTGAAAGCCAAATTCAGATTTGCTGGGGGCTTTTATGAAAGACGTAGCAGCCAGAACAGGCAGGGCTGAGGTGGCCTCCCTGGACACTTCTCAGCATCATGTCCAGGAAGGAAGGAGCTGACTAAGCCTATAATTCTAGAGACTGTTCATCCTTAGCCACATTTCCAGGGCCCTCTGCCCATCCTGCCAGAGGAAGAGCCCTGTGCCCTGAGAAAATGGAGGCCACTGACAACTGAAGAAACCCACTGGGTACAGGCTCCCAGGGCACAGAGTGTGCAAAGCTCTTGGTCTAGCACCAAGGTGGTGGCATTTCTTGAATTGTCAGAGCCAGCTCCTCATAAGCTTGCCAAAAGTCTCTCCTTTCTTGGAATGGAATCTGAATGTTTGCCATGCTCTCTGTGCCCTCCCCTGCCTACCTTCTTGTACCAATTGGTTGCTGTCAACTTAACACAAACCAAATAAACCCTTTCCACACCAACTCTCTCTTGGTCATGGTGGTGTGTGTGTGTGTGTGTGTGTGTGTGTGTGTGTGTGACATGTATGTGTGTGTGGGTGTCTGTGTGTGGGTATGTAGATGTCAGTGCAGGTGTTTATGGAGACCAGAATAAAGTGTCAGATCTATTGGAGTTGGAACTACAGACAGTTGTGAGTTACCTGATGTGGGAATTGAACTAGAATCCTTTGCAAAATCAAGTGAGTGCTCTTAACCACTGAGCCATGTCTCCAGCCCCTACAGCTCTGCTTTTCTGACCCTTAGTCTAACTGGCTCCTCTTCTCCTCAAAGCAACCTTATAGGCAAGTGTTCCTGTCCTAGTGGAGAAACCAAGGCTAGAGGGACAACTGGAGTAAGGCCATTAGGGCTGCTGCAACTCCAACCCAATCAGTGGGAGGAAGAGCCCTGATCATGAGAGGTTGCTCCTGTGTCTAGCCACAGATCCCATAAACCCAAGCACTGACTTCCCTGGCTCCAGGCTGACCCATTCTGCTGTTCTCTGCACACACCCGGCTCTCTCAAGCAAGGGGTGGCTGGCAGTTCTCTGAGAGGCACAGGATGGCTCTAAGTTCAGGGAAGAGCTTAGCCCCAAGCCATATAGTGGTTGGAAGCATAGCATTGGCTGGACTTCAGAGAGTACCAGATAGGCTTTCCCAAAAGAGAGAGAGAGCGTGACTGCATGGGGCAGGCATGTGGCAGCAGTGAGCTAGGGCACAGGCCTGCAGGAGGGCAGAAGACTGCTTTATAGCTTATTTCCTGCCATTGCCCATTTCTGGCTAGCGCTAGCTTAACAATGGGATCACAACGTTCCTAAATTCTCAACAGTCAGTTCTCAGGACCCAAGGCTGGCTGACCCCAGCACCTTCTGATAGGTCAAGAGCCAAGGCTGGCTGACTGCAGAACCTTCTGATAGGTATGTGCCTGTATAGGGTGGGTCCCCAGGCTCTGTCTGACCCCTATCAGACTCACTTGAGCTCCATTCACTCACACAATGGTCTCTGACCATTGGAGGACTCCAGACTCATAATGGCCAGGATGCCCCAGACTCAGAGATGGGCAGGATCACCTTGTGGTCAAACATCATGTCTGCTGGTCCACACTGGGTTGCTATCTGTCTCTTTCAAGGCCTGTTGGCTCCTGTGCCAAATGCTCTCTTTAATATAGTCTATATTATAATTTTATAATATAACATATCTTATAATTCTATCCTTGCTACCTATAGACCCAGCAGGAATCCTGAATGCAGGACAAAGGGGATAGCCTACTTTCTGGGGTCCCTCACTGGCTGTGGTTTCCAAGTTCAAGTCCTGACCCCTACACTATCACCAGTGGTCTTTGGATTCATTCTCTCCAATTCTAACACCAATGCCCTACATGACCAGAGATTCAGAAGATCATGATCCCAGCCCCAAGTGAATCTAGAACACATGGGCCTCTGCAGACTACAAGAATCCTGCCAGGCTATGGATGTTGGTGCAGGTGATTTTGTTTTTGTTTTTGTTTTGTTTTTTTACACCGAGGGCTGGGCCACAGGGTTCCTGCCTACCTGTAGGTAGGCAGGAGAGGCAGACTCACCTCCCAGAGTGAGCCCTCCTCTCGAAGCACAGCCACCAGCATGCCAGCTGGGATCATGAGGCAGGAGAGCAGGCCCATCAGGATGCCTAGCAGCTCGGCCCAAGCAGGGAAGCGATAGCTGCCGTACTCCGAGGGCTGGTACTTGACGATGCTGTACACCAGCAAGGCCTGCAGAGCGGAGACTCCAGCATCACTGGGCCTTGAGTGGGACCCAGAGTACAGCACGGCTGGGTCTGAGAGAGCCTAGCTGGGACCCATCCCCAAGCTGACTTAATATGAAGGTTTGTGACAGCCCAGGTCTGACACACCCTAAATCCTGAGGCAGCGTCTCTCCTAGTTGCTCCCACCCTATGGCAAGCAAAACAGTACTGAGGCCCCCTCCCAAGGCCCCAAGAATTAGGAAAGCCCCATCCACTTGTCAGAATAGCACAGCTCAGAAAACTGGGGCTTGGAGGGGGATGTGTAGGCGAGGTCCTCATGCCTATCCCACAGCTAGGGCGACCCAGCTGGACTAAATGCAGAGGGACCTGCACTTGGCCTTGGGGCCCCAGCCAACCACCTTCCCTCCCAGCCCTGGTTACCAGGAGTGTGGCTGGGGACAGAAACAGCCAGCAGGCCCTGAAGTAGAGGCCTGGCTTGAAGCCCAGCATCATGTGGATGTCTCGACAGAACCTCTGGGTGCCTGCATGGGGGGGAGAAGGAGTGTCCCCATGATAGGTCCCTCTGGTGCCTGTGACCCCTCCATGCCTGTTTCCCTGTCTGGCCGCTAGCACAGGGCCCCACCCTGTTCTCTCACCCTGAGGAGTGTCAGCCTGCCTCTCCCAGCCCTTCTCACCGTATACCCGGGTGACAGCGAGGCACGTGGTGATCACCACCACCATGAGTCCGAAGCTGGCGCTGTAGTCATCCAGAAGGACCAGCCAGTACATACCCCCCTAGAATACAAAGCACAGCACTGGACCTCCAGCCTCGGTCTCCTCAGCTGCAGCCCATCTCCTTCCAGGAGGTGAGTGGGAAGCAACTAGAGTGCCAGATCTCCTAACGATCCATTTATGGACGAGGAAAAATGGGTTCAGAGAGGGAAATTCACTTGTCTGGAGTCACTCAGCAAGTGGAGGGGTGAGGTTTAAACCCAGGTCTTTCACGTTTACTCGAGAGCCGGAATTAAACCACAGACCAGGGTGCCTGCCACAGGAAACAAAGCCCTGTGGGACGAAAGCAACTACTGCTGCAAACACAGCCCCTGCCCAGCTCCCGAGCTTGTGCGCCCCCTGCAGGCCACTCACATCGGTGGTGAGGATCAGCCCCATCAGGTACATTGCTACACAGATGAGGCCAGAGAACACTGCCTTCTTGGGCCGCAGGTAGTAGGGGAATTCGTCTGTCACTGCAGTCACTATGGTCTCTAGAAAGGCAAACTGCAAGGGGCATTGAGATCAGAGTTCTACTCCACACATACCAGCGGCCACTCCCACGGGCAAGGCTCACCTGGCTATCCAAGCCAAGAGTCAGGAGCATGAAGAAGAAGAGGAAGGACCAGAAAGGTGACAGGGGCAGCATAGTCATGGCCTGTGGGTAGACAACAAAGGCCAGACCAGGGCCTGGGCCCAGGGCACGCAGGGTCAGCAGCCTGGGGTACACAGCATGCCCCATATGCATTCAAACACATAGGGTATCTTGTGTCCATGTGGGCACATTCTCACCTACCACACCCAAGCCCAGAGACAAGCACTAACCAGACTCTAACATCCATCACTTTCTTAGTTTCCAGGACTGAGGGTGGCGCGCTGCGGGTGCTCAGTTCGGGACTATTGAATATGAATTAGCAATCACGCACAAATATACACAGGGACCAAATGTCCCGCCTAGTCAGAACACAGGTCTGCACACACTCATTTATACAGAGAAGCCCACCAGCACACATACTTACACTCATCCAGACACAAGACACACTGACTCACAGGCCACTGGCACCTAAGATTCACTTTCACATGCACATCTCAACCCAGGATGTGATCTGTTTGCACTTTCACACGTACATCTCAACCCAGATGTGACTTGTTTGGACAAACAAGGCCTGAAAGAGAAGGCAGCCTCGTACAGAAACTCTTTTGTCTCCAGCAGATTGTTGTTGCACACTCTTGCACACACATGCATTTACACACAGATGTCCCCACACACAAGTGCACGTGTATGCGCGCACGCACACACACACACACACACACACAGAGAGCTATACCATATCTTGCCCGTCTGTCTAGTCTTGATAGCATGACCTGTGGCCCAGCTACCTCTCACCCAACCAAACCTTCAGATGCTGCCCCCACCTACCTGCTTTGGCCACTTGGTCCACAGGCACACCCAGCTCCTGAGACATGTAGCCCAGCACCGAGAAAATAGCGAAGCCAGCCAGGATACTGGTGATGGCATTGCCCACAGTGACAATGAAGGTATCTCTGCCAGGAGAGTCCAAACCCAAGCCAGGGTGAGCTGGCCACAACCTCAACCCGAGAGAGCCTCGTGGGCAACTGTCCTCCTGAGTTTGGCCCCTGGCACCGGGAAGCGTGCAGGCACTGACCTGTAGATGTTCTGGTGGAATGTGTTGTAGGAGGCAAAGGTGAGGAGGCCCCCAAAACCCACTCCCAGGGAGTAAAATATCTGAAGAGCAGCTTCAATCCACACCTGTGCCAAGGAAAGAGGGACAGGGAAGGCAGGGAGGGCCCAGGAGAGGAGAAGGATGGGCGAGGATGAGAAATAGGTTCAGCAAGGAATGAGGAACAGTCAGGGCCACAAATGAGAGCCAGGAGCAGGCCCAGACCCAGCACTTACGATGCAGGATGTGGGGAAGTCCTTCCCTCTTTTCTGGGACTCAGTTTACCACCCAGGGTCTAGTAGATGGTCTCTAAGCCTGGTCCAGTCTTGAAGGAAGGTGTGACTAATGCAGAGTTAGCAGCAGATTGGAGTTGAACATAGGCCCATGTAACCACTTTACCCCCTGCCTGGAGTCAGAGGGATCTGAACTGGGACCCATCTTTACCACTTTCTAACTGTACATCCTGGATGAGTACTGCTACCTCTCTGCACGCCAGGTCCTTTGTCTGAGGTGAAGGACCTAGAATGGTGCCTACCTCACAGGGAGGTACAGCGAGAGTCAAATCATTATAAAAATGTCAGGTATCACCAATGACCAAGAGTGTCAACTGCCAGGACCATGTTGTGATCATCACTGGTACAAAGTGCCCCCTGGGCTTTGGAGCCAGACAGATGTGAATGGGACCTCAGTCATAAGACCTTATATCCATCACTAATTCTTGCAAGCTTCTGTGTGTGTGTGTGTGTGTGTGTGTGTGTGTGTGTGAGAGAGAGAGAGAGAGAGAGAGAGAGAGAGAGAGAGAGAGAGAGATGGAGAAGATAATAACGGCGTCATAGGATTTTAAGGAATAAACGAGGATGCACAGGAAGGGCTGGTACAGTGCTGCTCCTGGAGGCTCCCCGCCCCCCCCCCGGGAGTCACGCCCCTGCCCCCCTCTCCTTTCATGCTCCCTGCTCACCTTGGAAGACAACAGGTGGTGAAACTGGGGAGTGAGATAGAACTGGATGCCCTTCCAGGCCCCGGGGAGGGTCACTCCACGGATTAACAGCATGAGCAGGATGAGGTAGGGGAAGGTGGCCGTGAAGTACACCACCTGGGGGAGAGCAGATTAGCGTGACAGAGGACCCTCCACACAGCTCAGCCTGCCCAAATCCTCATCCCAGATACCCACCTCCTCAACTTTTGGTGGTCCTGAGTCAGGAACAGCCACCATTCTGGATATGTCTCCCACTCTCTCCAACACTAGCCCAGTGCTGCTACCCTGCTTCCAAGGCTACCCCAGTCCCATTCCTAAATCTTCCCCTGGTACAGACTAGCATTATTGGTGGCCAGTCTCTCCCTCCTGTGCCTAGCCTGTGCCACACCCAACTTCCTGAGCATCCCCTCAGCCACTTCTCTCTCCATCTCATCTTCTGCCTGGACGGTGACCATGGCGGTCCCTCCTTTCTAACACTTTTTACCCTGCATTGCATAGTGATGTCCTCGTGCTTTTATGGCCTTTGACAACGGCCTACTGCCTTTCTCTCTGCCCATCATCTGTGGTGCACTGGTCCCTCCTCATATCTAGTTTGCCTTCACCTGCTAATAGGAGTCCAATTTTCCCTATTTGGGATTCACTTCATGTCCAGCTGCAGTGGTGGGCTCATGAACAGGCCACGCCAAACAGACAATCCTTTCCTGCCACAGAGATCGAGTGTGGGGTGGGTACACAGCTTGCCTTCCTTATACAATAAGGTAAGTTCTATGAGATCTACAGACTGGGGAGGAAGACTTGAATGGGAGAGAGGAGGTCAGAGGCGCAGGCTGTGGTAACAGCCATGGAACCCCGAACCTACTCATGCTAAAGTTGTCTCCCACCTGGGGTGGATGGGGCTGCTTTCCAGTTAGTGTAACATCTGGGTACACATCACTTGCACTCCAAGAGATCTGATCTATACACCATCCAACAAGCATTCCACAAACCCTCACTGAATCTCTGCAAAGTGCCAAGCTCTGGGCAAGGATGCCAACTTGAATAACCTATGGATGTTGCCCAACGCAGGCACCTAGCCAAGAGAAGCAGGGAGGCCCAGTGTCCCTATTAACCTCCACGTCCCCCTTCAGGCAGAGCCCTTCCAGGTTCTTCTCTTCCCCTCACTGGGTGAATCTTATCATCTTCTCAGCCTTGGCCAGCACCCTACTTCCTTTCCAGCCCCTGAGTTTTGGCACCCAGCCCCCTAAGTCTTACCTTTCCCGAGGACTTCACCCCCTTGAGGATACAGAGGAACACAATGACCCAGGCCAGCAGCAGGCAGAGACAGAGGTTCCAGCGAATCTCCCCAGGTTGGCCGATGCCCTGGCTGCCCTGAATGTGCAGGACATAGCGGCTGCGGAAGACAACAATCCGAGAATCCTCTGTTCACCCTGCCACACCCCATCGTACCAGGAAAAAAGCCATGTCCAGCCCCCCCCACACACACACAATGTGATGTTTGCAAATCCCTCCCATTTTTTCTCAGACTGGCTGAGTCCAGCTTGCCTCTACCTCTCCCCACCTCCTTTGGGAAGCAAATAGCAGGTGTAGGCTTGATGGATCTGGTATTTGCACACCTACGCACACATGTGTATATATTTACATAGCCACATGCACTCCATTCAGGAGCTTGGCCATGGCTGTGCTCCTCTGAGCCATGGTTCATATTGGGTAGTCCCACTTCCGAGGCTCCAAAGCCCACAGTCCCCCCCCCCTTTGCCCCTTGGTTCTTCATGGTAGCAGCTCTCTCTAGTGCTAGTTTTAGTGCCTTACCTTTCCATGTGGGTCCCTTGACCCTCTACAAAGTCTTCTTATTAAACTCCCTTCACTTACCCCTTTTGGGAGTGCCATCAGCCATTTGCCCCCTGCCTATACCTCACCTAATGTGATCAGCCTTGGTATTGCCACAGAGACCCTTGGCAGTCACAGTGTCCATGTCAAGTTCTTAAGTTTTGCATGGCACACTGAAACTCACAGGTCCCACTTTAGCAGATACAGGCCCTCTGGCTGGCCTAGAAGTAAGTGGACTGCACAGTCAAGCAATTTGGGAGAGGAAACATTTCAAGACATGAATCTATCGGGAAACCCTTTGCAGGGGAAGGAAGGGGCTATTCATCCAGAGACTGGGCAACTCTAGAATATCCTGGAACAAGACCAAGAGTCAGGAATCCTTAGTGTCAGCATCGCTGTTAGTGAGCAAACCTCTGGCCCTTGTTTCTCAGCTAGGATAGCCTAGTGAGCCACAATGTCTTATAAAGCCACCTTTCAAGGGCTCATGAGTGCCTGGCAGTGATGATGGCGTTATCCATGTTGCCTTCCTTGCTTAAGTCTCCCAGGCAACCTTTACCTCACCCTGCTCTTACACTAATCTGAGATAGTTCTAACTTCGTAAGGCCCCTGCTCTATGTTAAGTGCTTTACCAACTGACACAATAGCTCAATAAATGCTTATCAAAAAAAATGAACACATGAGTGAACGACTAAATGGATAATGTCCTATGAAGCAAGTATGGTTATTACCTCCACTGTGACAGTGGAAGAAACCGAGACTCTAAAATGTCACTTTTCACAATAGACACCACTCTCATCAATAAATGGACACTTACTGGAGCTAGACCACAGTTTCCATGCACTCTGTCCTCCAGTCTGCACGGCCACCTTCTGAATTATTTACCACAGTTGTTCTGTTCTAAAAGTAGCTGGCTAGGTAAGGAGCCAGGATCAAACTCCTTTGTCCCCCACAGACCAGCACAGCACCCCACCTCCTGCCCACCCTCAGTGGCTACCCCAGTCAGGCTCACCTCCAGTACTCCTCACTGGGGCTGGTGGTACCGCTGAGGTTAAGGGGCAGGACCTCATTGCCGTCCTTGGGGCCTCTGTGCTCCAGGCAGTGCTCCGTGTTCCACCAGTTGCCACAGTGCTCCCAGGGCAGGTCGCTGGTGAGGGAGGCGAAGAGGTAGAAGAGGACATAGGCGATGATCATGTTGTAGTAGATGGCCACCAGGCCTACGATGAGCAGCATGGCCGCACCTGCACCTGGGGCAGGGCGGGATAGCATCACCTTCCTGCTAGAGTTGGGGAGCAGGGAAACTGCTTCCCAGGGTCCCTGATGGCTCAGCACAGCCAGAATCACTGTGGCCTTACCTTTGAAGAGGGGGCTGATTTTCCAGACAGCCAGGGGACCCAGGCTGGAGAACTGGCCCAAGGAGAGTTCAAGAAAGAAGAGGGGAATGCCACAGATGGCCAGCATGAGGAAGTAGGGAACAAGGAAGGCTCCTGCAGAGAGGTAGCAGATGGTGGTGGGATTCAGGCGAACCAGCCCCCAAGGCTCCATACTGGCTGAGCCACCGCTGTCCCTTGACAGCAACCATCTACCACCATCCACCACAGGTGGATGGAGCATTTCTCCCAAGGGTCACTGAGGTTGGGGGAGCTAGTGGGTATTTACACACTTTGTAGCTAGAGAGCTCAGGAGCGGCTGGGCACAGAGCAGACACTCCAGAAACACCTGCTGCCTGAGTGAATACACGAAGAGTGGATGAATGAGTTATCTTCCAAAGAGTGCCAGCTCTACACCTCCAGAATCCGGCTCCATTGGTCCCTTCCTCATGAATGCTGCTTCAGATGGTCTGGCTGACACCTGAGATTTCATGGGCCTGGCGTCCACCCACCCCCCGCTTTTCTTCACACATAGACAGCCACCTCCTTCAGACAGCTGCCTACCACCAGCTGGCTCCAGTAGGGCTGTAGTCACACAGCTAGCCCTCTGCCCTCCCTCCTGAAAAGATGTGGGTAAATGTCCCAAGTCACACTGATCACTTTCCTTACAATTCTATATGGATTCACTCGAATGATCTTCTAAGAGGCTCTGGATGGCTAAACCCTCCAGAACAGAGTCATTCCAGAAGAGTCTATCTCTGGGCTCCCCACCCCAACTTCATGGATGAGGGATGCCTGTCTGAGGAAAAAGTGGGGTCAACACGCAGAATAGGGAAGCATGAAGTGAGCCAGGGGAGACTCCTGGGGTCTTGGAGGCTGGTGGTGGGCTCACAATTTTGCATAGTCTAGTGTTACCTGGATTTCTCTTTGCCAACACACACTTCTTAACAAGTTTGGGAGAGGGAGTTGGAGATACAGCAAGAGCTCTGGAGAAGACAGTTGGAAGGTTGAATCTGCAACATGTGACCTTGGACAGAGAACTTGGCCTCTCCAGGTCCTAGCTACCTCAGCATTTCTAAGGTCCCTACCTGGAAGGGTTGTTATCAGGGCATGAGGCAGACACCAAGTCCAAGACCTAGTGGGTGAGATACTTAACCCTAGCCTTTGTTGATGAGACTTAGAATGTTAACTTGATGGAGAATCAAGGACAAAAAGAGTTACTTGTAAAATAGCGTAGATCTTGTGCTTGCAATCTGAATGGAAAAATCCAGGAGAGAAGGGAATACTGAAGATTCCAGAGTGGGAATGGTGGTTGGGGCAGGGCCTTGGAGGAGGTGTGGAAGGGGACAGGAGACAATGCAAAGTCTATGAGTAGTGACAGTGGGTACCAAACTTTACACCCACTGTGGGCAGGTAGGCAGCTCCTGGGTATTATCCTGGGGATGGCAAGGTGGGAGGAGGGGCTTGGTGATTAAAAGGGGCAGGCAAAGCAAGCTCATTTCTATCCTAAGTTCACTTCAAAGGTTACCCTATAGCCCCCAAGCCTTGGCCTGTCTCCCCAGCTGCTCCCAAGAGGTCCCCAGGCCCATACCGCCTCCATTGGTGTAGGCTCGGTAGGGAAACCGCCAGACATTTCCCAAGCCCACACAGTAGCCGATACAGGACAGCAAGAAGTCCAGCTTGCCCGTCCAGTTGCCCCTGTCTGCTGCGAAGTCCACATCCAAGTCCACATCACCCTGGTCACTGGGAGTCATCAGCAGGTCTGGGGTGACAGGCTGCCAGCAAGAGAGAACAATGCAGAGAGGGTGAGGCCAGAGTAGAACTGGGAACCCGAGCCAAGACTGTGGAATCGGACAAGGCTGAGTGGGAAAGCTCTATCAATTCAGCTAATCAAGCTGTTTCACCTGGACTCAAGAGGCTCTAGCTTGGAGGTCTTCAGGGACTAGCAGGGTGGCTCAGGCCTTAGGAAGCTGCCTGGCCCTCACCTTGGCTAGCAGAAACAGGCCAAGGATGATCCGATTTTAATACCACTGCCAGTGATGATCTTTGTGGCTGTCACTGTGTGTCAGTGATCACAGCACTAAACATTCTACTCTCATCACCTGAGTCAACGGCTTGTCCACACTCAATTCCAAGCAAGAGGAAACCGAGGCTCCAGGAGGGGTCATGACCTACCTAAGGCTTTTGCCTGCTTGGCTGTTAGGAGAACCATATCTGTAATCCTGCACTCATGATGCCAATGGTACTGTCTTTACCCACTTGGAGGTTATCTCCATCTGGGCACTGGGACAGTGTGAAGCATACCCAAGGGCAGGTAGGCAGACTGGAGGGTGTTCAGGAAAAGGGGCTCCAGGGGGACAGAGAAGAAACCAGGGTAACCATGGTACAGGAAGCAGAGGACTTGATAGAATATGGGCTCCCCTGAGGAAGGGAGTCAAATTCTGTCTGTGGCTCAGAGAACCTAGCAGGGACTGTGGGTTTTGCCTAGCACTCAGAAAGAAACCTCTTATGTTTTGTCTCAGAAAATCAAAGTCCAACTATGATTAATGGAGAGGAAAGTAGAGAAGAGAATGAGGCTAGCTGTCCTGACTGTCTCCTCCCATGATTCACTGTGGTCAGAGAGATCCCCTGAGCACTCTCCCTGTGGCTGGCACTAAGAGGCGGAGGTCAGATCCAGGCGTTTGGAATCTTGACCCCAAAGAATGCATGTTGCCCTGTTGGTGAGTTACTCTGGCTTTGGTACCTGAAGGAAGCTTGGAGGTACCGGGAGAACCACCTAAAATTCAGAGAGCAACTCCCAGGAAGGGGATATAAGTAGGCCAATCAGTAAAATCTCCAGCCATAGTATATAGCACAGGAGAAAAGCCCCTTCCCTCAGCTTTCTATCCTGGGAAGGCCTGGGAACCAGGGCACCGATTCTGGTCCATGGTCTGTGCTAGTATACCATAGTTTTCTGAGCCTCAGTTTTCCCATTTAGACAGTGTGGAGATTGGGCAGATTATTGTTTCAGAAACATATCCTTTGAGACGCTCATAGGAATTCCATGGAAGAATTCTCCAGTCAAAAACTGGGTTAACACAATCTCAAATGCACACTTGCAGGATCAGACAGCTCATTTAACGGGCCCAGGCCATTCCAATAGGGACTAGAATGCAATATTCCTAGTTTCTGTTTAAGGAAAGGGTCTCAAGTGCTGGTTACCTTCAGAGGTGTGAGTCTAGACAGCACCAGGGAGCCCTCTGCTTAGAGGTCTTGGTTAGAGTCTCACAGTGACTGGGACCCAGCTAAGAGCCTCTTCAGGGACTCAGAGCCAAGCTACTACCCAGATGAGCTTCCTTCCTAAATACATTCCACCCAAAATAGGTAATGGCAGAGGAGGCTTCTCTAGGTACTGGCCACATGAATGTCCCTAGGATCAAGAAGATGGAAGGAGGGCCGGGGTGTGGCCCAGGGGTAGAGCATCTGTCTTCATGCACCAGGCCTGGCTTCTGTCCCTGGCTGGAGAGTGGAGGTGAACAGTATCACACAGCTGGGGATGTCTGCTGTATGTCAGGCTGGGCAGTGAATCCTGTGGCTACACTAAAATTACAGTGTTGGGTTGGTTCAGTGACAGTAGTGTGACCCGTCTTGTCTGTGGTTAGGCAATGGTGTCAGGGACAGCCTGGCATGAGTGTGGGTGATGGTGACAGACAAAATGAAAAAGGTGCTTAGAACTGAGATAAATAATCACTGGAAGTGAAGGTTTTCCGCTGTGGCCTAGGACATGCTGTGGTGAGGGTGGCAGCACCTCCCAGACTTCGTGAAGCTCTCTCCTCCTCCCCTCCCCTAAAGCGGCCTCTCTAGTTGTGAGAACCAGCCTTTGGGGACCCTAGGGCTTTTATAGGAACTGCGAGAGAGAGTTGGTGGCAGGCATCTGATATGACCCTTGTCACTAAGTTGCAAGGTAGACCTCTTACCCAGAGATACCCTGTCCCTTTCAGGCCAGCTGACAGGAGGGCCCAGTAATGAGGCTCTTCTGATCCCCTCAGAGACACTGCCCTTTCCACACTCACAGAGCAATCCTATCTGTTTCCATGGCGACAAGAGTTCTAAGAGCAGGAGGCTGCCAACTCGTCCCCCACCTCCCCCAATCAGAAAGAAGCTTGCTCCTGTTCCAGGGCCAGAGGATGGGGGTCCCCCAAAGATGAGCCAATCAGGAACTCACATGGAGCCCTAGCCTCACCATCAGGTGAATCCCAGGAGGCTTTGGGGCTGATCCAGAAGCAGCAGCCAAGTAAATGGGGCAGGGCCAGAAGCTACCTGGCTGGCTTTCCATACCCACCTGGTTGGGAGCTCCTGTTCCCTACTCTGGATCATTTAGGAACACACTTTTGAACATGCACCTGCACCCTCTCTTTTAGGGACCAACACATATGGGTCCCCACTCCCAGGCAGACCACCAAGCCTGGGTGGGGCAGGGGGATCTTTTACCTTCTTGGAAAGACAAAAGGCATCCTGGGTCCCATTTCACTGCAGGAAACAGAGCTCCAGAGAGGAGAGGGAGGGGCCCAAGGTCAAACGAGAAGTCAAGGGCAGAGCATCCTAAGACTAGATCCCCAGCCCAGCCCAGCCCAGCCCTGCCAGATGCCGCTCTGCTGACCCTTGGTCTTGCTCATACATGCCCTCTTCTGTCTGAGACTTTGGAGTGGGGAGCACACCAGCATTGCTCTGCTTGTTTTAGGTGGCTCCTACTTCCAGGTAAGTCATGAAGGAAGCAATTGCTCCTGTGCCTCAGTTGTGGTGTCTATGAAATGGGCTAGTGGAGTCTAGTGGGTAACTCAAAGAAGAGAGGCTGCAGATGCTCCTCCCATGGGGCACGCAGCAAGAGCATCCTACCACATGGCTGCCTCTATCATGGGTGGCTGTGACACCCTGGTTCTTGTGGGAAGGGACAGCAAAGTAGAGAGAGGGGGAACGAGGTCAAAACCCAATAGGACCCAAGAGGCCACAACTGGCTTCAAGAAGTGACTCCCACCAGCCAAAAGGACCCAACTACCTCAGTGTTTCCAGGCCTGTGAGTATAAGGACAGAAATGGTGAATGAAAGTGTGTGTGTGTGTGTGTGTGTGGTGTGTGTGTGTGTGTATGTGTGTGGGTGTATGTGTATGAGTATGTGTGTGTGTGGATTATGTGTATGTGTGTGGTGGGGGTTATGTGTATGTGTGTCTGTGTATCTGTGTGTGTGTGTGGTGTGGTGTGTGTGTGTGTTTGTGTGTTATGTGTGTGTGTTATGTGTGTGTGTTATGTGTGTGTGAGTGTGTGTGTGGGGTTATGTGGGTGTGTGTATGTGTGGGTGTATGTGTATGAGTATGTGTGTGTGTGGGTTATGTGTATGTGTGTGGTGGGGGTTATGTGCATGTGTGTCTATCTGTGTGTGTGTGTGTGGTATAGGGTGTGTGTGTGTGTGTATGTGAGTGTGTGTGTGTGGTGTGGTGTGGGGGGGTTATGTGGGTGTGTGTGGTGGGGGTTATGTGTATGTGTGTGGTGGGGGTTATGTGTATGTGTGTCTATCTGTGTGTGTGTGTGTATGTGAGTGTGTGTGTGTGGTGTGACAACAGTAGCCAGTCCCTGTGAAGTCTTCTCCTGTGTAGCTGCCCCTTCCACTTCATAGCATCTCTACATCTCACACAGCCCAGTGGGTGAGGGGCTGTTTTTTCCACAGCGGAGATGGATGGTTGGAGAATGGACCTGACCAGCCACCACCAAGTGGCAGCTTCAGAAACAGTACTCAGGAGTTCCCTTTCCCTGTCTAGTAAGGCTGATACTTTAAAGCTTATGGCCAGAAAACTTAACCTCAGGACTCTCCCTCCCCCACAAACAATTGGGAGGTCCAGCCTGGCCAGATGGGGAGATCGAGATCTACCTGACATCTCTACTGCTACCCCACCTCCCGTTCTTTCCTCCCTTCAGCCCTGACCGTGGACTGCCAGGGGTCTCCACAGTGGGGAGAGAGCGTCTCAGAAGGAAAGGGAAGGCTGCAGTAAAAAGGGACAAGGGAGGGGCCTGGCCCTCAGGGCCCTGTGCTTAGGACTCAAGGGGGTCCGCTGGAAGCGGACAGAGGCCCTCGGGTATAGAGTGCCCAGGAGAAGCCAGGGTGAGATCCCAGCCCCAGCAGAGCCCCTTTAGCTTTTAACACCCCCACCTTGTCAGGCCCAAGAACAGATAGGGTACTAGAGGGGGGGCGTATATGACCCCAGCCACCTATCCGCACCCCCTGGGGCTGCAGACACCTGTTTGCAGGTCGGGACACAGTGAATCTGGACCCTAGCACTACAACCGGACCCACCAGGGGAGATCGTGATCCCGCCCCTCCCAGTAATCCATCTTGGGAGGAGGTTCTCTAGCCTTGAACAGCGGGGGTCATCCCTTTGGCCCTGTCGATCCTCCCAGCCAAGCTCAGGTGCGCTCCGCCCTCGTGCCCTACCTTGCGGAGGTGAGCTCCCTGGAGCTTCTGCATCTTGGAGAGCTGGCGCTGGCGCTTGCAGGAGCGCAGAGAGCCAGCGAGGCGGGAGCCGAGCGCTGGTCCTACCGCCGCGCCTTTACCCCCGCGGCTCCCGCGCACGGGCTGGGGAGGGCGCAGGCGCTGCCGTGAGGCCGCTGCGGGCGTGGGGCGCTGCGAACGCCCTGACTCTCCCTCCTCGGCTCCCTACGCTGGGGAGACACCCAGACAGATCCAATGACGGACAGAAGGCAGCTGGGGGATGCGCGCGCCCCCGCACGCAGAGATGCGGATTGGAGCGGCCCGAGCAGGTGGGGAGGGGGTGCGTGACAGAAACCATCGGCCGCAGCTACAGTCTCCTGCGTGACCTTGGGCAAATGACTGCCTTCTCTGGGCCTCCCTTTCATTAGTTGGGCGAGGAGAGATGCAGGCAGAGTGCTCCTGGACACTAATATTCATATATGGGATTCCAGCACCCGACCACATCTTCATTGCTGATGACCTTAAGTTTCTTCCTGGGTAATCTCTTTACTTTATGTCACTTTACTGAGGTGTAAGGAATTCACGGAGGCCAAACAGAAAACAACGGGCATGGAGCTGCCACACGATCCACACTCAACTAACGCCTGTTTCTGACTGTTGCTTGCTCACACAGCCATCGGCAGTTGTCCAGTAGCCTATCAGCACTTATCCGGTACCTTAAAATGATCCTGGGCCACAGAGTTTTCTCAACTGTGAGAGGCAGGTGTTAGTTAGCCCTTCCATTTCACAGATGAGGAACTAAAGGACAGGTAAGTTAGTTAAACAGGGCTGCACAGTTAGTGTGTGTGACATAAGACAGTCAGGCTTCACAGACTTCCCGCAGACATAGTAGCCTTCAGCCCTACTCATTTTCTTGGGATGAAAGTGCAAGTTTTGGGGGAGGAGGAACATGCAAGTGTCACCATGTTGATGGTAGCTTGTGATGAGCTGGTAAACCAAGTTCCTGCCTACCAGCACTCTGGCCTCAGGGCCACACATTTTTATCTGTGACCAGGGCCACCAGCCAGCTGGTATCTATCTGGCTGAGCTCTCACAGAGTGCCTGGGCATCTTTTGAGCTTTCCACTAGGATGGAGAAATGATAGCTGGAGTAACTGAGCAACCAGTGCACTAGTTTGCTGGGATGGACCACTGTGGGAAAACAGACATGTCAGATCCATGCCCGTTAAAAGTACCCCTTTAGACATTTACCATCCACATGCTTTCTGTCTGCATCAGGGGGAGGGAGGCCTTCAGGAGGTGCAGGATAGGGTCTGCTCTGACCTCTGGGGTTTAAGGAGAGGGCCCCAGAGTTCCGAGCTGGGCTAGGTGGAGGGCTCACCTCTCCTCCCCAATCTCTGAGCTACTCCTACTGGAGTCCAGCCAGTCAAGGCTTCCCTGATTTAGGAGGAAGGAGTTTCCCCCAGGTACTCTGCCCCTAGGAGCCTCAGGAGGCCAAGATGGTTAAAGGGCATTTCCTGAGCCCTGCTCTATCATGATGAATGCTCATGTCCAATATTCAATTATTAATTCTTCCCCACAGCCCCAGAAAGCTGGTATGTGTAAGTCAAATTGTATACGAGGAAAATTTCAGAGGAATGATGTCATGTGTCCAAGATCTCAGAGAATCCCTGGGCTTTAGGAATAAGCATGGAGGGCCTATGGCCTTGCCTGGAGAGGAGCAGAGGCTTGGGGGCTCAGGAAGGAGGCTCATGCAGGTCCCCTCCCGCCTCCTCCTCTCCCTTTGGCACTGGAAAACAGGCCTTTGGGAGGTCCAGAGGTCCTTGGCCACAGGGGCTAGGGTAAGGCATCTGACTTTGGATCCCAGAAGACTGGCCTCTTTCAGCCCCGGCACAGCAGCACCTGGTTGGGGGACAGGGACAAGACTGAAACGTAGTCTTCCTTGAGCAAGTATGATGACCACTGAGCTTTGGTTACAGTCACTGAGGGTTACAGTCACATTGTGCAGGCGGGCTGGGTCCATACTTTCCAGATGGGGAAACTGAGGCCTAGAGAGGGAAGGACTTGCAAAAATCAGTTGCCAAGCAGTGGTGGTGCATGCCTTTAATCCTAGCACTCAGGAGGCAGAGACAGGTGGATCTCTGTGAGTCCAAGGCCAGTCTGTCTGGTCTACAGAGACCAGGACAGGCTCCGAAAGCTACAGAGAAGCCTAGTCTCAAAATAAATAAATAAGTAAATAAATCACTTAATTAGCTTGGGGCAGAGCCACACTTGGAATATTGGATGTGAGTCCATCGATCTCTCTGCCACCATCTCCCTGTTACCAGCCTTGGGCAGGAAAAAAAGAAAAGCACTAAGATTTTCTGGCAGATGTTGCCCAGTCATTCATCCTATCCCCTGAAGCCCCAACTTTGCAATCATGCAACAACCAAGGTTTTAATGGCCAGACATGCTTGATTATTCCCTGTCCCCAATGGGGGGGGCTTGGATGCTATCACTCCTTAAATGCTCTTCCTCTCCCCTTCCTTCCCAGCCCCTTCCTCTCCTTCTCCAGCACGTCTTCTGGTCTCACCACAAGCCAGAAGTGAAATGGAGATGTGTGTTGATTTAAGGAGAGTGTGAGATGAAAATGTACTTCCTTTATTATATAGGGAGATATTTTTAAATGCATATAAATAAACATTTTTAATTTGCTGAAACGTTCAGGTTTTGCCACCGTAGAGCATGTGTTTTGCACTACCAGGAGTGGTGACTGAAAAACGAGGCTGCAGACTGCCAGTCCATCTGGTGCAGTGAGGAGGATGTCCTTCTAGAACAGGCTTGTGGGCCGGGATTGCCCTCCAGGACCACTCTGGTGGACTGCCAGGCTGTGTCTCCCCATCCCAAGGCCAGTGCATTTTTACCAACTCAGCTATATCCCCAGGCCTCCTGTGGAATGCTCTTAGGTGACAGGAAGACTGTATCATGCTTGTAAACATAGACAGGCAATGTCTCCTTATCATGGAGTTCATTAAAGACCTCCTCCAAGCTTCTGCTGCTATGCATGCACAACCCCTCAGCTGCTGGAGCCCACCTCTTCCAAGGCACTGAGCTTCCAATCAGGAGTCTCTCTCTCTAGAGCATTTCAGAGGCCTGATAGCTCACACGTACTTCTGGCAATTGATAGTGGCTTAGTTCTTTCACTGGACAAGGGTTCTCAGCATGGAGCTAGGGATCTATGGATCCAAGGAAACTTATACAAAATGGTGCTGCCATGTTCTATTCTCATTTTCTGGTGCTCTTGACCAAGTTTTGTGCCTTCGAGGACCAGCCCAAGCCAGGTCTACTATTGGATCCTAGACCCCCAGCAGCAGCTCGGTCCTGCCACCCAGCAGAGGGACATGTACAGCTTCCCTGTACACAGCAGCACCTGCTGTCCCTAGAGGAGAGCTGGGACACCTCCATCTCTGGGGTGGTTGCAGGGCCTGATGCAAACTGAGGAGGTCTCTTTCCTTAGTCACTGCTGCACCTCAACCTCTCCTGGAACTTTTTTAAAAAAAAATCTGGACAGGGTGTCAGGTAGTCCAGGCTGGCCTTGAACTTACTATGTAGCTAAGGATGAGCTTGACTTTTTGATCTTCCTGCCTCCACTGAGCAAGTGCTGGGGTTACAGGCATGTGCCACCAGACCCAGTTTTTTACAGTTCTGAAGGCTGAACCCAGGTCTTAGTGCATCTTTTCCAACTCAGCTATATCCCCAGCCCTTAGGTGACAGGAAGACTGTAGCATGCTTGTAAACATAGACAAGCAATGTCTCCTTATCATGGAGTTCAAATACCAATGGTCAGGTGATCCAACCCCCAACCCCCTGAGCTCCCATGTGAGTGACTACTGCAGCCCTACTGCCTGTTGGGCAGAGGTCTTCTAGAGCCAGGGTCTCATCTCCTCATGCCACCGACTGACTTCAGGGCTACAGTGGTTGGGACTGCAGACAGACATGCAAGCATCTCAAGTGGGGTGCAAAATATGGGCAGGGCCTGTACTCCTCAGTCCTAAGAATAGTCACTATAGCTCCCTTTGACAGACCAGGAGGCCCAGAGAGGCTAAGCACCTCAGATTCCAGGTCTCAAAACATGAAGGCCGTCACACCAGAACCCAGTGTGTTTCACTTAACCGTTTCACTTGACTCCAAAACCTGATACTCAGCTCAGTCACGGAGACGGCATAGCTCTTCAGACCCAAGCTTCCAGGACTCCCTTGTGCGTGTGTGGATAGTCAGTCAGGTGCTGCGGTTGGTTTCCTGGGTTTGAGGCACGAGGAACATTGGCAGAGAATTAGCTCACTTCTACAATCACAGCATTTGAGGCTAACATAGGAGGATCACCATGTGTTCAAGGCCAGGGCAGACTACATGGTGAGTTTCAGGTCAGCCTGGCCAGTGAAAGGGCTCAGCAAGTAAAAGCACTTGCTTCATAAATTCCATTTACATCCAAATCAACTGGACTGGAGCAGGAAATGGAGGCCCAGAGAGATAGGAAGTAGTTATTCTAGGGCCATGCCAATCAGGAAGCTAAACTCGCTGCCAGCTACCAGCCTCTCCCTACTCCATTTTTCTGGTGCCACCTGATTCCTGTGGCTCAGATGTCAACTGCTACAGAGAGGCCCTGCTGTCTCCCCAGTGGACAGCAGGAGTAGAGAAGAGTCTGGAAACACCTGTGCACTGTTTCCCAGGCCCAGGAGCAAAGGGCGAAGGCAGGCTGCTGAACACACTTTTTATGACCTAGCCACCTCCCAGAACAGTAAACAGAGAGGGGCAAGCAGCTGGCACCAGAGCCCTCTGGGCAGAGAAGGTCCTAGGTAGCTCACTTATGCCCACCACCGGGGAAAAGGTAAGAGCAGCATCTCTGTGCAGAAGCTTAAGAAACACTCTACGTTCCCATTGCCGCTATTCCTTCTTTCCCTTTCTGGACTTCACCATCATATCAGGTACCTTCTAGGTTTCCTGATGAGCAGGGAGCCTGCTCTGCATTTCATCTCCACCACACAGGCACTGGTTTCTGCTGCGTCCAGAGCAAAGTTCTGACTGGCCCTTATCTTTTTATATTAACACCACTATGCGTGTGGCACTCTTCCCACTGGGCCAGGCACTTGGGGGAAAAGGTGCTGCCATGTGACATGGCGTGCAATGTGAGTGCCAATGCTAAAAGAAAAGCCCGAAGTGAAAGCCGGAAGGACCAGAAGGCTGGTGGGCAGATTCTGGAGCAATCACCCAAAGACTGGCCTGGCATTCCTTCAGCCTCAGACCTGGCTTGGCAGGGTCCCTTGATCAGCCATGTTTTTAACGTGACTTTGTTGTGAGAGCTAGAGAATGGAAAGGAGACACACAATCATGAAGAATGACAGTGATGAAACTTTTTTTAAAAAAATTCCTTTAATGCTAGGTATGATTTTTATAAATTGTTTAAAAGGGAAAAACTTATTTCTGAACTTCCCCAGAAATTCCACTCTAAGCCCTGTCCAGATGTGAGTTCCTCATGGTCTGGAAGCTCCTGAAGGGTGATGGCCAGCCTGTGGGGAGGAGGTGGGCATGGGCAGGTAGGTAGTGGACTCTATCTGAGTCTACCCTGAGAGGCTTCCCTTCCATCCACAGGTCTTCCTGGAGTGCTAGGGAGGGGACAAGTTCTATCTCAAGAGCAGTGACCAATTGCCTGGCCTTTACCTCAGGCCTGGTCCTGATAGCTTTGCTCCTCCAGGCTGCAGAGGGACAGTGTATGGGGTGCTAGGACAGGTGGAGGTGAGGCTGCAGAGCAGGCAAGTGGGACTGGCATCATCCATACACTTCACACGTGAGTCTAGACCCATGTGTACCACTTTCTCTCAACACTGACTCCTCTCCAGGGTCAGTCTGGTCCACGCAGCAGCCTCCCATCTCACTCTGGAGCCCCTGGAGCCTCAGCCTTATCCTGACACCTGTTGAGCCCTCTGGATCTTGAGATATCTCCAGGTGACTGAGACCTCTCACCGAGGCTCCCCATCACCCTATGGCCTAGGACACAGCAGCTGGAAGAGGTCCTTGTCCAATAGGCTCATCACACAGTCCAGCTGAGGGAGGCAAGAAGCTGGCAAGCAACTTGTCCTAAGTAGGCAATCTGTCCACAGTGACCCCAAAGGTCAGCAGCAAGGCTGGAACTCAGAAGAGGCTTCTTAGCTCCAGCAAAGCCAGGTGCCCAGTCTTCAAATCCCTAGATCCCTGGGCCCCAAGCTGGAAGGGTTTAAGGTAGAAACTCCTCCTTGACAGGTACTGGGGAGGGGGTGCCCAGAAGGCCAGCATTGGTGGGACATAGACTACCCAGGGGTGGCCCTGATGGTGTGGGGTTGTCATCCAGGGGCAGGGGCAGCTGTGAGGGAGGCAGTGGCTGCTGCTGCTGTTGCTGCTGCTGTTTCTTCTTGTTCACTTTGCGTTCCTTGGCTCGACGGTTCTGGAACCAGATTTTTACCTGTGAGATTGAACAGACTTTATGGAGCAACTGTTAAGAGGGAGCTAGGTCAGGGGAGGTGGTCTTCATGGTTCACTTTCTGCTCCAGCTACCCACCTCAGGGACAAAAACACATTGTCCCTGTGTCCTAGATACCTTTCTCTGTAACCTTCCCCCTTCCAAGGCTTGGTTACTCCAGAGCCCCTGTGTCCTGTGACAACCCTTTGTCTGCCCCCTGCAGCTTCTGTGTGTGTGTGTGTGTGTGTGTGTGTGTGTGTGTGTGTGTGTGTGTGTGTGTGTGTAGCGATGTTGGCAGCAGTCCAGTGTGTGGTACAGTGCCAGTAGTTGGGAGAAAACCTCTCTGTTCTCTATTTCTGAAGCCTGTACCTGCAAGGCGTCCTGAAAGCCTGACAGTGGGCCCTGCTACTTAAGCTGAGGTGAAGGGCCTACATACCTGTCGCTCTGTGAGCCCCAAGTTAGCAGCCAACTCTGACTTGCGCCGGATGGTGATGTACCGGCTGTAGTGAAATTCTTTTTCCAGTTCCAGGCGCTGGTGGTCTGTGTAGACCACACGGTACTTGTCCTTGGTCCGAGTCTTACCTGAGGAGCAGAAGGAGCAATGAGGGAAGGTGAGTGTAACGGGATGCCCCGAAAGGTCCAGGACGCCCCACATGGCTTTGACTCAAGGGTCCCCAGAGTGGGAGTCTGAACACCAGTGTCATGAAGAGGACAACTGGCTAATGAGGGTGGACTGGGGCTACAGGGGACTGCCAGACACTCCTAGCCCTGTGCAGGGAAGATGAAATGGTGGAAGAAAAACCAGGCTGGGAGCTCCCCAGTTTTACTGACTGCTAGCCCAAAGACTGAAAGGCCCAGTGCTGCTAATAGACTCTAGGGTCTACTGAGTAACCAGGACATTCAGGACACCAGGCTCTGATCTAGGGTTGCACCATGGGCCAGGGGCTGGTCTACCATAGCTGTCCACATAGCACAGCAATGACACAGCTCGTTCCATGACACAAACTAAGTCCGTGCCTCAAGCCACACACTGGGGTGGGCAAAGAAAACAATGAAAAGTTACTGCTTGGATGCTAGAGGAAGGAGGCAGACAAAAAGAAAATAAAAATAAAAAGCGCTCGCTTTGTTCACTGGTGATTATTTCGAGAAAAAGAAAGAAGACAGGGAGCCTAAGAATGTGATGGTGGGAAGGTGTGGGAATTTCAAACAGAGTGGTGCTAGCTCAGTATGGTGGCATCCACGTATAATCCCAGCTACTCCATTGGGTCACTTGAATGTAGTAATTCAAGAGCAGCCTGGGTAACTAGTGGGACTCCTGCTTCAAGAAAAAAGAAAAGAAAAAGTCAAACATTCAACGCGAAGGCTTTTGAAGCCTAACCGAGAGAAAGAAAATATAAGAGCAAGTAGTCTATCTAGAGAAAGAGAATCTGGCAGAGTGAACATGGCGTGCAAAGGCCCTGAGGTGGGGGCACGTCTGAGGATGAGGAGGAAGCTTGTGGGACAAGAGTACAAGGAGCAGAGGAGACGGGACAGATGTCAAGAAGAAGAAGAAGAGCTTAGGTTTTACTCCATCTGCAACGAGAGCCACTACAAGGGGACATGTAGTCTGCTTCAGGCTGCCATGTTTATTCTGGCTGCTGTGTGGAGTAGACTGGGGGCAGGAATAAGAGGTGCAGGAAGGACTGCCATGTCCCAGGACAAGAGGGTGGTGGCTTGGCTTTTAGATGGTGCTGCCTGGGCCAGGAGCTGGACTTAAGGGTTGTCTGAGGTTATTAGTATCAGGGTTGTCTTTGGAGCTGAGTGTGGAGGGCTGTCTGGGAAGAATATTACTGCACGGGGCCTGGATGAACACCAATTTTCTCTGTAAGAAGCTAAACACATGGCTAAACTAGAAGGTGCGTGCCAACAGCAGGCATACACACACCAGGGCATGACCAACCCTGGATCCCCCTGCCACCTGTGTGCCCACAGGTCGCCTGGCCTTCGCCTCCCTGCTCTGTGCCTTGGCTATGCCTGTGCCCCCACGCCCGTGCACTAAAGACCAGCATCTGGCCCACCTCCACCCATCCATCCCACACGACTTGGCAGGACAGACTCGGGCCCTTCTCCTGCCAAGTGGCTCTGTGGGGGAATGGGAGACAACAGCTGTTCCTAGGCGGCTTCTCCCTGGGTTTTCTGCCAAAGTGGCAGAACCACACTGGCCACTTCCACATGCACCAAGCTCATAGTACCACCTGACAGCAGAAACAGAGCACAGGGCAGCCTGCAATGCTGTGCCAGGCATGGCTAGAGGAGGGGCTGAGGCCTTGGCTCCAAAGGGGGTTCCTTCTTGACCTAGAAGAGTCAATTTTGGCTCAGAAACAGTTCTGCCTCAGGCTGCAACTACCACAGCCTCACTGGGCTCTGAACCCAGAGCCCACTAGGTCATGAGTTCAAGGCAGAAGGATTCCTGGGATTTCAGTCCCCTGCCAGCTTCAGATGGCATGGTTTAAGATGATCATGTGGCTGCTGGAGGTCTAAATAAGAGGCCTATGAGTTCTTCCAGGCATGTCCAATGGCTGCTGTGGGTCACAAGTGTTTCATGATAGCTATGAATACAGCCCTACAGCCCTACATGTCTTTAGATTACCACTTAATGCAATAATGTCAAAAAGGTTGGATACTCCTGCTAGATCTAGTCCAATCTCCCTGCAGAGTCAGGGTCACAAGAGGACAAGTGGGTATACATGTGCTAATGCCATGTCCTCTAGTCTAGAGCTCTCTCTCCCTGCTGCCTCCAATGCACAGCTCTCCATCTCCCCATTTTTAGGTACAACTGAATGGCCCAATATCCTAAGTGTCCCTAATAGAAGCTCACAGAGCAGACCACATCTTTTTGTCCATTCTCAGGAATGAAGGATCAAACCATGGCAAGAACAGACAGGAGGACCAGGGCTGGCTGGGATTGATGAACTTGGGCTAGGACTTCAAATGTCAGGAAGTTCCTAGCTGTCTCCAAGAGGATAGGCTGAGCAGCAGCAGACAGGGCTCTACTTACATAAGCCTAGCAGTCATTGGAGGCTGCTGTTCTCTTAGTGCCTAGCTTGCCTGCCCTCTGTCTCTCCCCACTCCCTACCCCTGTCCCCTTGAAGTGAACAACAGGGACCCACAACAGTCCTTTACAGCTGGGAGCCAGGACACAGAAAGCTGCTCTCGGAAGGAAGGGAGGGAGGGAGGAAAGGAAGGAAGGAGCTCTCACTTAGGCCATCAGGCTGGCAATGACATGAACCAAGATCTTCAGATTGGGAGCCAGGCAAGGACGGGGTGTTGGCGACACTGCAGCATCTCTATCCCCACCAGAGTCAGTGGAACCCTAGTCTATAGGCCTGGAGAGGGCTTAAAATGCACAGACTGATTGTTAAGAAAACACCCGACAATGAACAACGTGAGGATTCCCTGTACGGCCCAGAAACGAGGGACCCACATATTGTCCAGAGTGAGCACTAACTGAAGGGCCTAGAAACCAACTAAGCATCGTGTAGCCTGACTTTACATGCACAGAGCCTTGATCACAAGCTCTGTTCCTAGGAAAATCCTCACAGAGAACTGCCCACAGCAGTGAATGCTACTAATAGCATTCACGTCCATGCCTATGAGCAGGGAGCTGGTGACCACATGGATACGCACATGGACATGGAATGTCTGTGGAGAGGAGCACTGAGCACCTGTTAAGACATGTATGAGGGAGCAAGACACGGACTACTGGAAAACGGCCTGCTATCAGGAAGGGGAGATGGCCCGGTGGGGAAAGTGATTGCTACAAAAGTATAAGGACCTGAGTTCAGATCCCCAATCCCCATGAAAAAGCCAGCTATATGTCTGGGTGTGGCAGTAAGCCACTTTTGGGGTGTAGGGTGAAGATGTGAATCCCTGGGGCTCAGTCTAGCTAAAATGGTGTGCTCTGGACAGCACTAGAGAGATACTCAAAGGTACAGGTGAACACACACACACACACACACACACACACACAACACACACGCACATGCATGCACACACAAAAATACATAAAAGTTAAAACACTTAAAAAGCCTGCCATATCAACATAGACATTTGTGTAACTTTCAGCAGCATATACTTTTATAGTTTTGTGTCTAGTTTTTCTTTTTTTCCTGAAACTATGTACAAGGAACCAACACCAGAAGCTTCCTCTTCCAGGAAGGCAGCTGAAGATGGAAAGCCATAGAGAGGAGGGTGATTTTAGAGGGCTTCAAGTTTTACTGTGTTTGGATGTCCATTGCATTATTTGTACATGTTTGGGCGTGCACACACGTGTGCATGTGTCACTGGAGGTTGATTCCAGGACTTCATCTATAACAGAGAAGCATTCAACCACAAGGATATATTGCTTTCCCCAGCCCTTTTTGTACTTTTTAAACTTTGAGATAGAGTTTACTAAGTGAACCCTGAATTCACTTTGTAGTCCAGGCAATTTTTGAAGTTGTAACCCTCCTTACATTGGCCCCTTGGGGCGGGGGGCTACAGGCCTGCATCACCAGACCTGGGTCTTAAATTTTAATTTTAGGTATTTATTTATTTTAAAGATAGGGTCTCCAGCCCAAAAAAGCTAGTCTTGAACCCACTATGCAGCTGAAGATGACTTTAAACTTCTGGTCTTCCTGTCTCTACCTCCAAGTGCTAGGATTACAGGTGTAGCACAACACCCGGATTACCCAGTGCTGAGACCCAAGCCCAGGGTGTGGTGCCTGCTAAGACAGCAGTACCCTATGTAGCTGCACCCCCAGCCCCTGAACTCTATTCTCTTAAAGTCGTTTTACTTATTCTTTGGGAATTTCATACATGCATTTAATGGATTTTGACCATATCTACCCATATACCTTCCTCCAGCTCCCCCTCTCCTTCCCAAATTCAACTGCCCCCACCCACCTTCCTTCCCAACTTCATCTGCTCCCTAGTGCTACTTGCAAGGGTGTGGGGTCACCCGCTGGAGCATGGGCAATCAGTGGCCACACCAAAGAAAAATGACTCTCCTCAGCAGCCATCGAGTGCCAATAGCTCCTTGGCCAGGGGTGAGGACTTATGAGCCCCTCCCCATCCTTGGAAACTGTATTTTCAGTGACAGCCAGGAGCCCCAGGTTCCCCCTGTAGCCCTGGACAGAACTCAAGCCTCTGTCCTCCTTGATAAACTTTTGTGAGCACCTGTGCCCACCCCAACCCAGAGAGGAAGGGCAAGGTGGTTGCATGAGAGGGACAGAGCAGGGAGGTGACCGAGGTGAATGATTTACAGGCCCCTGGGACACTGGGGCTAAGGGGGAAGTCTGGGCTCTGGTAACAGGTGTCTGATGAGGGGCCAGCCACTCCCAGACACAGAATGAGTAATTTCTAGGCACGATGCCAGGAAGAATGGGTACGGGGAGAGGGTGCAGATTTTCAGGCCTGAGCATGGTGGGAAGAACCTCAGCTTACTCACATACATGGACTGCTCACCCTCTGCTCTGGTTCCCTCATACGCAGAAGGTCTCGTTCCCGTAGAACAGGCTGCTGCCAGAGGCATGACTGGAACCCCACATCTCTAAAGCATACAG